AATCTTACAAGAAATGGAAGTATGCTTTTCTTAAGTTTATAAGTAGAGTTCTCAGGGCAATGTACAGATAAGAGAATTGATCTGTAATCCCTTTCATAGTAGCACAGCCATTAACTTCTAATTTCCACTCGCAGGAAAGAAAGAGGGAACAAAATTTTACTGGTTTAGGCTCAGAATCCTGTGGACTTCTTCAAAAGTGTGCAAACACACTGGATTTGTTTAAAGAAATATCCATCTTGCCTTAGAGAAATGGAAATAATGAGTGCAAATACGTAAATGTACACACAATTGCCACTTAATGTATAAAGAAAGAAAGATAATTGTGCATTTTGTGTGAACAGCCAATTTGCAGACCTTTGAAAACGTAGCTAGTATCTATCTAATGGTTGTATTGGCAGGAGACTTCAGAAGCCTTTATAACATCACAAGGTACAACTGCAGTGCATAGCTCTGAGGCTTGGTGTCCACCAGGAGATCTGACAGCATTTTATAGCCCTTCACGTCGCTTGGGCCTGAATGGCTGCACAGTGTGTGTGAAAGCACAGCCTCGAGTGTCAGGAATTTATTTGTTCATCTGCTTTAAAAACATTAAATCGCAATATTAGTTCTGAGGCTGAGATCTGCTTACAGATCAGTGACATCACATCACTCTTTTCCTCATGCTGATTAACCTGTTTAGACTTCCATAGAAGTCCTTGGTGTAGGAACTAAGTGTCCTTGAAAACACCGGGTTCCTGGCAAGTAGGCAAATTCCCAGTATGAGGCAAAGAAGGCCAATTTTGCTTTCATTACACTGTTGCTATTCCCACCAACTTCCCAATTTTCATGAAAGTAGTACAGACACGTTAGACAAGGGTTGGGCGCGCTGCACGACCTGGATTCTATTTCTAGCCTTACTGTGCCTCTCTTTACTCGTCTCTTCAAGCAAATAAAAACCGCTGTTTTGTCTCCTGAGAGAATATTCTCCCACTTTTTAATAAAGCTCCAAAATAATCATGTGACATAATTGTATGACATGCAAGGTTATTCTGTAGGGGAAACTGTTGCTACAAGTTCCTTGTACCTTGCTTATTCCTGTATCTACATCACTTTGTTTCAACAAGGGGGTCTTACTATTGACAATAAGTAGGGTATGTTTATTTTAAAATTAACACTCTTTAGTTACCTCTCAGAAAAATTCTGCTAAATGAAAAACCCGGAGTATATTCATTAAATGACCCTTTCCCCTATCCCTTGTCACATTGCTGACATGCTAGTGCAGCCTAAAATTCTGAACGTATTTCCTGATCACTTCAGATATCAAATGCCAACTGTGGTAACTGCTTTTGTATTTCAGAGCTTTACTCCATTCATTTACTGCCTACTTTAAAGAAACTAACTAACTAACTAACTAAATAAAGGAAAGATAAATATGGAACTCACGTTTTCAACAATAAATTTCAAGGAAATTTATTACTGTAGGCTGACACCTTACTTCAATTTAGAAATGCTATTTTTGATGACTTCTTTCCAGCTGAAGAACACTGCAGCAGTTATTTTTAAATCAAAGTTGTACATTTTTTGTAATTCTGAGGTCAGAAAAATTCCATCGCAGATCAGTTGATCCATACAAACAAAACGCCACTCCAATCTCACTCCAACCTGACATGAACAAATCAGCCTGGTTAAAAAAACGGAGGGATTATATACTGGCTGTGGATCTAATGGGAACATGAAACACTGACAGATTAGTACTGTGGATTTAATGTTCTAAACAAACAGGAGCATGGGGAATAACCTACCAAACAGCACCTCCAGTAATACCATATTGTGTCTGCTAGGCTTCACTGTGTTCTGTAAATATTTCCAGCCTTTCCACTCAGTCTCAGTCCTTACAACAGCATAACTTTTTTTTTTCCCCTGTCTAAGGAATTTCCAGGAATCGGTTTTCTAAATTACAACGTCATCATTCCAGAACTCCATAAATTCAAGTCAGCTTTCACAAAATGTACTAGACTGGAAGCCAGTGACTGTATCTCCGACCAGCTAAAGAACAGAACCTTGGACAGAACAAGCCTCCCTGTGCTGGCCTGCCTGGTACTTCACTCACTGTTAACATCTACTCCATACTTTAATAGTACTGAATATTTTGGGAAAGAACGATGACTTCAGAACATTAGGACTACCAGAATTATTAACATTTTCAAAAATGTGTAAATGATTCATGAAACAAAAAAATCCTTTTTTGGATTTGGCCGTGTCTGGATCTAAGATGTATTTTCAGTAGACTGAGATTCTTTGCTCATTCTGGTGATTCCAAAATATCATTCAATGCGTTTTATTTGTTTGACTCTGGAACTTTGGAGCCTCAACCACAATTCTTACATTCCTGCCATCAAAGAGGCAGTGATGGCTGAAGTCTAATCAAGAATTCTCATATCCTTGTTCTGATACTGTGTTCTGGTAGCAGCTATTTCAGACCGTGTCTGAATGTATTATGATGACTGAGATTGTTTTCTTACATGTTTCTGTGGGAAAGACAAAATATTTCTAAATCTACAACCATACAAAGTACATCTGAAATGTATAATATGTTCTTTTGTTGCTATCCCAATTGTTTTTCAGGTAGGATTTCCTCCAAAAAAGCAAAAACAAAAAAAAAAAAACCAAAAAAAAACAAAAAACAAAAACAAAACCCAAATCCTTCTCCACTGTTACTGGAGAGCTCAGATGCAAGGAAGTGCTGGCCAAAAGTGGCCAGACAGCAAGTAAAGCAGGATGGGCAGGATGAAGAAGAGTACTTAATCTAACTGTACATTAGGAACATTCTATTTTGGCTTGATGGCTTTGGAACACTATAATGAGAAGGATTATTTGTTTGCTCAGTTCTTTTTTTATCCTTTTCCTTCAGAATCAAGACAAAAAGCTTCCCTCTCTAAAAAAACTTGACAATCATTTCCCCTGCAACACTGGCAGTGAGGAGAATACAGTCACAGCAGCCCTTGAAACGGAGGGATGTGTCAAGATGGCTTCTGCACTTCCAAGCTCAGTATCGTAGTGGCTTGGATAATGCAATAGATTGTAGTCATTAACCATGATTGTAGAAACAGCGAACCAATTTCTATTTAGATAACGCTCATACCATGAAAAGTACAGCTCATGGAACACCTGATACAAATCAGCAATACAGAGAGCAACGGAAGAAGCAGGAATGCACCTTTCTTATGGCTAAGAGCCGATATTAAATAACTCTTTTATTCATTTCTGAAAAGAAAATAAGCTGTGATAATGTGGAGGCCTTGCTTTGAGCATACACTTGGCAAGCAAGCATTCCTCATCTACTTTCAGCTCTACTTTTATATTTTGATCTTAGGGGGAAATTCTAGAGGCAAAAGAATGCCCATTCATGCAACCCACTGTGATAACAGAGGATTTCTTCTTTTTTTTTGTGTGTGTGAAATGGAATACAATATGGGCAGTATTATTATAATTATTAAGCCAAAGGGGCCCTTCAAGAATACAAATTTTGATGCAAATGGATTGTTGCATTCTTATGCTTTAAAATGTTTAATACTGTTATGATATATATATATATATCATATATGCTGTACACCTAGATTCTCCTAAATGGGGGACTCCCAGCAGCTCAAAGCTACAGTAGCTGCATGATACCATCAGCTTCCTAGAAAGCAAAATTTGCTCAACCATGTATGTAATTCCACTGAAACTAAATGGGATTTTCAAGTGACAAAAGACACAAGAAAGCAGCTCCCTAAATAGTTAAGATGCAAACAAAACAGACAAAAACAGCCTTTCAAAGCTGCAGATGTTATTTATCTCTGCGAACCTCTTGGTCAGTTGTTTTTTTTTTTCTTTTCCTGGGCTTCATCAGTACAAATTTTAGATGTATGGAAAAATTAAAGGCAGAAGCTTGGCTGACACCAAAAGCATGAGGTAATGAGCACCTTGTATGGACAGCCCGCATTGCTGGCTCAGCAGTGAGAGCTCTATCTAGACACTTGTATTACGACTTAGAGCCCACTTCCTCTGCAGCAATTGGAACACCTCAAAAATTTCAATTCGGTAGGATCCAAGTTTTGGAATTCGGGCAAATTCACCACCTAATGCTTAGGAAAAGTTTAAAGCAAGAGAAAAAACGTCACCTCAGTTGGATGTAGACAAAGGAATAGATGTATTGCATACCTAAACCAACACACAGTCCCTGCATACCTACTGTTCTGCATATCCTGCATGTAAAAACGTATGTTCTGCCTTCGTTCTGTTGTGGCTGCAGTTTTGTGATGGAATATTTTCCCTATCGCACTACAAAATCTCTCAGCACAAGAAGATGCAATGCATCTCTGTACAGCAAGAATCGTTGTGGCTGTTATCTATAGAGTGTAATTACTTCTGATTACACGCAATAGGCATCTCAACATCCTCCCACTGCTTTTAGCTCGACACCACGCAGCATTAAACCAGCCGTTCTCAGGTACCGACACCTGGAACCCTTTGGGAACTTGGACGCCTTCATCCTTGGTAAGCCACTCAAAATACGCTTTTTTTTTTTTTCTTCACTTTAAAATCTTCATCAAACTGCTCCCAGAGCAGAGGGAAACTGTTTCCGAATGCCATGCATGAGCTGTCCGTGGCTGCGACGGGGCCGGGCACCGAGGCCAGCTGACCCCGCGCCCCACGACCCGCCTCACGCCGCCGGCCCCGTCCCGACCCCCAGAGTCGGCCGCTGCCCTCGGGGACCGCGTGCCCAAGGCGGCCGGCCGCGTGCTCCCCCCGAGGAGCGCAGGCGGACGGCGGTTGGCATCCCCGCCCATCCCCTGCCTTCCTTTTCCTTCTCCCCCTCCTTTCTCTTCCCCCTGAGCCGAGGCTGCCGCCGGGCGGGGGCGGTCCCGATGCCGGCAGGTGGGAGCGGAGGCCCCTCCTCGGCGGGGTGCCCGCGGCGGCAGGCGGCCGCCCCGCTCCGCCGCGATGCTGCCCTAGCGAGGGATAATGACAAGGAGAGGCGAGGGGCAGAGCCGCCGCCGAGAGCCCCGTCTCTCGCTCGCCTCCCCGCTCGCCGGCGCTCCCCGGCTCCCGCTGTCGGGCCGCCTCGCTGACGGGCGGCGGGCGGAGAGGGCAGAGGGGCGGCGAGGGGATCGCGGTGCGGCCGCCGTTCCCTCCGGGCGCTCCGTGCCCGGCCGGGCAGCGCCGCCCGCCTCTTCCTCCTCCTCCCGCCTCCTTCTCCGCCGCGCGCGCTGCCCGACGAGGCCGGCCGGGAGCAGCAGCGGCCGCCGCCGCCGGCGGAGGAGACCCCGACCATGTCCAGCAAGAGCCGGAAGAGCAAGGAGCAGGGGAGAGTGACCTTCCCCCCGCAGCAGCAGCAGCAGCAGCAAGAGGAGGAGGAGGAGGAGGAGGAGGCAGAGGAAGAAGAGCGGCAGCGCCGGCGCCGCGGCTGGAGAGGCGTCAACGGTGGGCTGGAGCCGCCGCCGTTGCGCGCCGTGAAGACCCTCCGGGAGCCCTACGGCTACTACCCGCCGCCGCCCTTCGCCAGCACCATGTAAGTCAGGCCCGGGGGCCGCCAACTTCCCCAAGACGGCCGCGGGGCGGGCCGCGGCACCCGGCCTCCGGCTGCCGGACCGTCTCCGCCCCGTCGAGCCGAGCTCAGGTGCGGGGCAGGGCTCGGAGGGGCCGGGCGCTGCGCGCCACTTGTCCGGCCGTCGTTTTGCAGCCGGGGCTGGCCGAAGGGAGAGGCGGGGCCCGAGCCGGTGCTGGCGGGAGCTTCTGCCGCCGGGACCCTGCGGGCTGCGCGCCGTCGGGCTGCGGGGCTGAAGCCGGGGGTGAAGCCGGAGCCCCTCGTCCCCCCGCGCCCCCTGGCGGTCCCGCCGCGCCCCCCGGCCTTTCGTCTCCGCTTGCGGGAGGACGTGCGGCTGAGATCCCCGCAGGCTGAGGCTTCGCCAAACTTTATTAGTTGCTTGGTAGGGCTTTGAGTCATTAGTCCGCTCGTAGTCATAAGCGTGCCTGATGCGCTTTGTGTGTTGAGTTGTTCACTGCCTGCTGATGTAAGTGCCGAGAAAATCCAGTCACTGATATAGGTATGGTTTGCTGAACCCAGTGTGCCCCTTTTTCCCTTAGTGCCTTCAGAGCCCTCGGGGTGGTGCCTGAAGGCAGCCACTCGCAGAGATCTGAGACACCTGCACTGGGGACATCCGTGCGTGAGGTCCTGCTCCTCCGTTTACATGTCATGTCTTGGAGAGTTGCTGTTCCTCGTTCTTAAAGACACCATCATGTCTCTGAGTTGCAGCTCTGCCTGGTGTTTGCTGCAGGATAAAAAATGCAGTTTTACTGATAGGAATATTAATTTTCATTTCTCTGATTGACTGAATGTGTCATGTCCGTGACATCACTCCCCATGTATCACTCTCCTTGGTTATTTCTTGAGCATTTGATACTTAGGGGCAATATTTGATTATTAATTAAATAACTTGTTTACTAAATGACAAACACATTGAGTTTTAAGTTAACACATTCAGCATTTACAGAAGAAGCCTTGAATAAAATCACCTCAGAGGCAACGGTGAAGTACAGGAGTAATGATCACAATCAAAGCCCTGCTTTAATCAGAAATAATGCTTTCTGCCATCCCAGTGCAGAATTTCTTTGCAAACATTTGTACCCAGCAATCCAGGCTCCGAGTGAAAGGATCGTTCTCTTCTTTGAGCTGCCTGAAACTCATGCCAAAGTCGTTTGCCTGAGCTGCGTGTGGAGTCAGTGAGATGAGAGAGGACATGGCAGTGGGCTTGCCAGCCTCAGTCATCAGTCTTCTTGAGGTGCTCATCTCTCCTCATTCCCCACAAAAAGAGCCTGGAAGATTAGTTCAGGCTCATACGTTTGCTTTTTAAACAGGTCAAGCTAGGCAGATGAATTGAATTTGGTAGCTCTTCTGGGTTCCTGCCCTTGGAACTGCTTTCTTTAGCAAACTGATGTTACTCCAACGTGGACTAAAACTGAGTTCAGTTTGCACAGCAATATGCTTTTGGACCTGTGGAAGCTCTTTGAACTGGCAGGGCATTGGGTCTGCCTTGGGGCTGTCCGTCTTCATATACAGTGGGCTTTTCTGGAGTAACACTGTGATTCTTGCTAGAGCCTAAAACTGTAGCATCTACGAACAAGATAAGTGAGCATCAGATTGCTTATAATGTACTTAGATGGATATGCATAAGGCTTTGGCTTGCATGCAGTAGTCATGAGAATCCTTGTCTGAAAAAATTCATGATCTAAACTACAAGGATATAGAGGTGAGAGGATGTGGAGACGTTTGCAGAGGGAGGTGCACTTGGTATTTGAGAAGTATTCTTTCTAAAAGCATGTAACCCATGCAAGGTACCTGTCAGTGTGTGTCTCCTGTGCAAATATTGCTGGAAAAAATTAATTAACCTGGGATTTCCAGCAGGACAGCAGGCCAGAGGTAATACTTCTATTTCACATGGCCCTGTATGTCCTACGGGTGAAGGAAAAAAAGGGCTAACATTGCACATTAATGTGGTGGGCACTGTGTGCCTGATTTCCTGGGGTCCTCTGAAAGCTCAGCTGTTTTTCCTGAGCAGAACACCAGGGCACAAATGAAAGGCAGTGTAAAAGCAGCTTTACAATTCCGTGTGCGTTGCTGCAGCCCTATGAGCTTGGTTCTCTCCTGGTGAGACCCCTTTGCCTTTTTCTCTGTGTGCACCAATATGATCCTCTCATCAAAACATGGTGCTTTAATTCCACTGGGATTCAGACAGGTGGTATTTCATTTGTTAGTGATGTGCAGTGGTAGGGAAAAGCTCTGTGTAGTTTGGGGGTTTTTTTTAGGAGGCTGGAACGAACAAACAAAGTGTGTATATACCTCCTCCTGATGCCTTGTGGTGTTTTGCTCCTTTTTTGACTGTAGTTCTTTCCAGCTCTGTGCCAGAACTTCTGTGAGCTGACATGAGGGCATTTTGGATGATGGATTATGTCATTTCAGAGCAGTGGGAGAGCACAGACCGGGGTCAGATGTTGCAGCTGGCCTGATTGATGTTCTGTGTTGGGCTGAATCTGTCTCCATCTGATATGAACTACTGCCTAGGCTCTCCAGAAGGGAGAAGGAAGCTGTCATTTCATACGTTTTAGCTTTGGTGCAGATTCCTACATTGTGTGAAGTACATGTGTGCTTCCTCAAGATGCAGTATGCATGCATGCATGTAACACCGTTTCTTTTGGGGGAAAAAACAAAGCAGGCATTTAGTAATGGCCTCTTTTGGCCCATGCCCATAGCTGAGCTTGGAGGGCAGGCAGAGATTTTGCTTGAGAGAGTCTGGGGAAGAATCACCTGTCCAGCACTGTATGGCCCTGCCTGAGATGGGAACAAAGCAAATGTTTGAGATTGCTTGGTTTAAGAGATCTTGGGAGTCATGAGCTAAAATGCTGCATGTACATATGTGTGTGTTTGAGCACATTCTGGGTGTAAGGCAGTGTGTCATTCTGTAATTTCAGAGCAGGACCTCAGAGGTTACTTTTGGCAGCACTGGAGGCACAGTGTGTGAGTGCTGCATGGCAGACTACAGCGTGGCTGCCTTGAAGGTGGCATGCTGCTGCTCTGTGATGTACTTGTCTGATCTGCCTGCAATCACCGGGCTGCATTTCAGGGCTGCCATAGGTTCAAGACTGCTCATGTACTGCAGTTTATTAGTGGGGTGCTTGTAAATTGTGGGTGCCATCCTTTATTGCAATTAATAGTTCAGGAAGAGTAACTGCTTATTCTTCAGCATGAAAGGTGTAAAATTACTCTATAGGTTTGGGGAGTCTGAGAATGACACTTCTTTTTTTTTAAACTCCTCTCTAGTTTTAATTATTTCATACGTAATTTTCAGAAATAAATATATATTAAATAAAAGACTTGGGAGATGTGATTACAGATCTTCTCAAATGCATCATCCCATATTTCTGTCCTCCTACGACAATTCTGAAAGCCAGAATGTGAAGAGATTTAGCAGAGGTTAGCACGGCAGATTGAAGTAATTCATGGTAGAAGCAGAGGATTTGTACTGCATACTCTGGTCCTTAGGAGCTGTTGCTCTGCTGAAGTTTCTAGTATTGTACTTAGAAATAACTCTGCCCAAGGGAAGTAAAGTCAATTTCAAGAATACTCTCCAGTGACAGGCAGCACTGCAGCGTAGTACGAGGTCACAGCGTATGTGATGTATGCAGGACACAAGGGACACACAAGGGCATTGCTTGCTTAACAGGGAAAGAAATACGTTTTTTAATGCACATATGAAAGTCAGACTTGTATTTTAGTTTATTTGTATTTTACAGCTGCTTTGTGGAGTTTTCTTAAGGGTGGGGAAACATGCCCTGATGGGGTGAGACTTGGGCTATTTCACTTAAAGTGACTGCTCTTTTCCAGTTCCATCTTTCTTATTTGTGCTGAGCAACGCACAGTGGCTTGAGGCTTTATCAGCTCCCTCCCTGTTTTCCTGCTGTGAATTGTGAATAGTACTGGTGCAGAATGATGGAGGGGCTCAGCTTCACACAATGTTGTGGCGCACCACTGATGCAACATTAACATGTAGTAAGTCTACATTTTTCTTGTTTGGCATTTTTCTGTATTTTTTCACCTTACATTCTCTGGATTCTTTTATTTTATTTTAGTTTATTTTATTTTTATTTTTTAGCTATTGGGAACAAAAGTGAAGAAAACATCATAATTTTCATCTCTTCTTCCCTCTGTTAATATAGGTTGTCACCTCCTTATGGAGTCAAGGATGAGAAGATAAACTTTAAGGCTCTAGGAAACAGGGCATGATACAAATTTTCTTTTATTTTAGTCACATTTTTAAGACAGTCTAACAATGATCAGAGAGCTGGAGCACCTCCCCTATGAGGACAGGCTGAGAGAGCTGGGGTTCTTCAGCCTGGAGAAGAGAAGGCTCCAAGGAGACCTTATAGCAGCCTTCCAGTACCTGATGGGGACCTACAGAAAAGCTGGGGGTGGACTTTTTGCAAGGGCATGGAGTAACAGGATGAGGGGAAATGGTTTTAAACTGGAAGAGAGTAGATTCAGATTAGGTATCAGGCAGAAATTCATCACTGTGAGGGTGGTGAGACGCTGCAACAGGTGGGCCCAGAGAGGCTGCGAATGTCCCCTCCCTGGAACCATTCAAGGCTAGGCTGGATGGGGCTTTGAGCAACCTGGTCTAGTAGGAGGTGTCCCAGCCTTATAGCAGGGGGCTGGAACTAGATAATCTTAAAGGTGCCGTCCAACCCAAGCCATTCTATGATTCTATGTTTAGAGATAGGACTTGAGATTGTTTTGATTACTTAAGTTGACAAATATGGCATATAAATTTTACCAAAAAAGTTTGTTTTAGTTTTGAGCCATTTAGACCATTTTCTTGATGGTTTGGGATAGCTTAAACATCTTAGTTATAGGAAAAGGGGAGCAAAGAATGGCACAGTGGCCTTGTACTTGACCCTTCCTGCTTACAACGCTCTGACTGGAGCTGCTCAGCCTTCAGGGCCTTGCTGCACCACGAGGGGAGGAGGAGCGCAGGGAGGTACGGGTGACCCTGACAGAGCAGCACATTGTCAGCACACTACAAGATTTTTTGCACTTTATTTTTTTCAGAAGGCCTTGACAATATTTTAGTCATGAAAATACCAAGCAACTTTCATCTTTGTTTAGAGAAGATATCGCAGTCACTTCAAATACATCATTTCTGTAACAAGATTTATAGCGAAGGAAATTTTCGTTATTGAGTATGGACATTCTAGTGTAACACCTTTGGAAAGGTATATTCCTTTTTACAGAAGTCAAATGAGTCACCTCAGTCACACAGTGTGTTTTGAAACAAGTAGATAAAACAGAAAATAAAAGTGACATGTTTCAAATTATACTGAAAAATTACCCCGAATATACGGGGGAAAATGTGTTATGTATTTCATAAAAAGATAAATGAGATTCAAGGTGACTGTTTAGAATCTTCTTTAATCAAGAAGTCAGCACGAGTCAATCTGTTCTGTCTTTTGTTTTGGTATACTTGATTTTTTTTTTTCTTTACACTATTACAGTAAACAATTACATTTCTGTACCTGTATGTTTTAAGATGTGGAAGAGGAACAGAAGCCTAATAGCACAGCAGACAGTAAGATCTTGTTATCTTGTTTAAAAGGTAACGATAAGATGGCAGTATTTCTTGCTTTATGTCTGTTTATTTTGGGAATAAGGCAGTTGCATAGTGTGGCTGTTCACTGTGTGTTCTCTGGGCCAAAGTCATCATATCAGAGTATTTCCAAACATGAAATATGTTTATGCTTTACATGGTAAATCAATCCTGTGGCTAATGCAGTTGCAAATTTCATCTCCTACACAAACATTTTCATAGATAGAAGGAAGGTTGTATGGGATTGAAAAGCAATGGATGTGTCGTGTGTAGCAAAGCAGCTTTGGCACATATTTCAAGAAGTACCAGACAGCATAACGTATGCTCCAGTGCCACCCAGGGCACTTCTAGCAGTACAGAAATACCGATCCCACATGAAAATATCAGAGTTCAGATGCTATGGAGAGTCCTGCCTTTGGTAATGAGTCACTTCATTCAGTTTTCCATCTCCAGTGAAACTTCCCATCTGTGTCACCTGCAACTCCCTGTGTGCAAACCAGTTTTTACAGTGCTTGTAGCTTTGATAAAGTGAGTAAGATTTAATGTTCTGCTGAATGTATTACAACTGATGCAGACAGCTGGAAAACCAGGTGTATTCTTGTAATCTGAATAGGATTAGGTCTGCCAAGTGAAAACCAGTAGGGCTGACATGGCAATATATGGGGAAATCCAGGGATATCAACCATTACATAATGTAATGGTTTGTGTAGTAGCAGCATAGCTGAGCTCTTTGCTGGAAGGTCACACACAAAAATAAAAAAGATTGCATTTAAGAGAAGGTTGCTCACATTGTGGATTTGGTCCTGCAGCACTTAGGATTTGTAACTTTTGGAGCTGCCCTTCAGCTTCCACTGCATTTCCCTGAGTGGTGGTTATGCATGCCCAAGGTGTCATTTCTTCCCTTGGTTCTGTTCTGTTGCAGACTGACAGGGTCTGCTTAAAAAGAACCTTTAACTATTTTGTTATGCCATCCATCTCTTCAGGTGCACCTTACTTGGCTTTTGCAATGAGGGTAGATGTATTTCTCTGTAGCTGTTTATTCTCGTGTCTGCATTTTTCATTGAGATGAATGAATTAATTTTCACAGTGCTCCTGTAAAATTGGAAGCAATTGTTCTTTTTTCAGTAGATGAGAAATGGAGACACAGAGGACTTATTTTACCAGCTTATAATTTCAGTGTGTTTCTTCAGTTAGCTAGTTCACTCATTCTTTTCTCCCGTGCCCTTCTTGTTTCTCCCTTTCTGCTTTTGCAGCCAGTGTTGCAGAGACTTCACAACTTCTCCAGTTAGTTTCTTGTTTCCTTTCCCAATCTTGTCCTCCTGCACCCAAGTTTCTTCTTCACTGTATGCCTGCCATCCCATTTTTCATTAATTAAATATTTGGCTTTTACACTGTTTTGCTCATATTACAAGAAGGCACAGGTGTGGTTTTTTTGTTTTGTTTTGTTTTTTAAACATGACTCACTTAGTGATATTCCTTTCAGCTCCTGGAAAGGCAGGGTGGATAGTAGAGGTAGGCTCCGCATAGCGCACAGCATTGCAGAACTCCAGTTACAGGGAGAGCTCATCCCAGTCTAGACTGAATCATGTCTGTTGTCAGGAATCTGAGTAGCTTAGCTACTAGTATCCAGAAAGTCTGCTGAACACATATGCACTCGTGTTTTTCAAAGACGTCCAATGTGACCAGATTCACTTGTGAGTAGACCCTTCCACATTTGGTTAGTGTTCTTCATAGTAAGCACTAATGGGCATGAGATCAGGCTTCGCTGTATACTGTACGCAGTCTATGGGGCACTCACAGGTTCAATTCCAGAGGCCCTTTCTGTTTTGTTGGTGTGGCCAAGATTTTTTTTCCCCTTAGTATCAGGTGTCACTTCTCTTCAGAAACCCCTCCCAGCACACTATTACGTATAAAATGAAAATGCATCTACAGTATCAATAGCAATTAAATACCATCCACCACAGGGACTCAATCTGATTGTTCAAAGAAGGCAATATTTACACTTACTGTATCATACTTTCCATAAATCAAAGATGAAGGAAAATTTTCTTTGCACTGCCTGCCGTAAGGGCAGAAAGATCCTAAGAAAGAATGCTTCTAGGTAATAGATGGGCAAATGGTAAGGATCAGAATGAGGTAAGTGCTCATTTTTGTAGCCACAGGAGAGCTTGAAACTACAAATAGCCAAGACTGAACTTTTGTTACTTTTTTATTTTTCTCCCCATCAGGTACATTGAAGAAAGTCCGTCTCTGAGGCGTATGACTATGATGAGGGAAAAGGGAAGGCGGCAGGCCATCAGAGGCCCAGCATTCATGTTCAACAACAGAGGCACTAGTCTCACTGCTGAGGAGGAGCGCTTTCTAGATGCAGCAGAGTATGGGAACATACCTGTGGTGCGCAAAATGCTGGAAGAGTCAAAAACACTGAATGTCAACTGTGTTGACTACATGGGCCAAAACGCCTTGCAGCTTGCTGTAGGGAATGAACATTTGGAAGTGACAGAACTTCTGTTAAAAAAAGAGAACTTGGCACGGATTGGAGATGCCCTGCTGCTTGCAATCAGCAAGGGCTACATTAGGATAGTGGAAGCAATTTTAAATCATCCTGGGTTTTCAGTAAATAAGCGACTGACTCTGAGCCCTTGTGAGCAGGAGCTCCAGGATGACGATTTTTATTCCTACGACGAAGACGGCACCCGCTTTTCTCCAGATATCACTCCCATCATTTTAGCTGCTCACTGCCAAAAGTACGAAGTCGTGCATATGCTGTTGATGAAAGGAGCAAGGATAGAAAGGCCTCATGATTATTTCTGCAAATGTAATGACTGTACAGAGAAGCAAAAGCATGATTCCTTCAGTCACTCCAGGTCAAGAATAAATGCCTACAAAGGACTGGCCAGTCCAGCTTACCTGTCCCTCTCCAGTGAAGATCCTGTGCTCACTGCGCTGGAACTCAGCAATGAGCTTGCCAAATTGGCTAACATTGAAAAAGAATTCAAGGTAATGGTAGTTTTCTATTTCTTGCTGTCTTTGTTGTTTGTTTTAATGTTGATGCTACCTTATAATGTCCTTAGATTCTTGAAATTATTTCCTGTGTCAACTTTTTCAATTGCAAATGCTTTTATATTTATTCTCTGTAGCTCTTGATTTTGCATTCTGAATACTTAAGTCTTTGAAAAGGGTTTTTAAAGTGAAATGGAAATGCTTCAGTACCTGCTGTGCATGGAGAAAACTGGAAAAAGAGATGGTATGTATTCTGCTAAACTTGCAGAAGATTAAAAACAGCTCAATTTGCTGTAGCAAATAGTGTTTTAGTTACAGATGCTTTGTAGCACAGGTGTAGAAAGCAGAAACATTAAGCCTACTGCAGCAGTGACCTTATTCGCATTTTGTTATTCATACTAATTTTGAAGAATGTCTCCAAATTGTTAAGAATGCAGGCAGTGTTCTTTTAATGCACCTTTTAGAACTGTCGCTTGTTCAGAACTGTCTGTTAAGCTGATTACAGATGTCTGCTGTTACCTGTTTCAGAGATATATCTAGTTTAGTTTGTCAGTATCTCAACTTTTCTGCGTATTTCAGCTTCTCCACTGGACAGCTAATGACTTAGTTAACTGTTGTACAGTGGTGGTTCGTGGACTTGCAATTTTTTTTAGTGCCTTGAAAAGTATATCCTCTCTGTGCACCTCTCTCAAAAAAAAACTCACCACCAACAAAATGGAACCAAACACACAAACCTCAATGCCAGTAGCAGCAGAATACTATACGTGCTAAGATAAGTTTGTCCTGGGGAATGTGACAGATTATTCTCAGTGAGTGATGATGTTAATAGCACCACGTCTAGTCGTAGCAAAGTCAGTGTTGGATGCCACTTTTTTTTCACTAATATCTTCATAAGCGATCTGAGAGAGGCAAGAGATGTATTCATCTTTTAAAACAACAGCAAGCATTGCTAATGCAAGGTCTTCTTCCAAGAAGAAATGTGCAACAACTTGCAGGAAAATAGGCAGAAATGCAAAAAGTGAACTTTATCACATATATTCCAGATACAGCTAAGTGGGTTAAAATACAATTTAAAAAGAAAGCTGCTGTGCTGAGGAAGATTCAAGTATTATACCGCTCACTAATAAAGTACAAAAGTCAGCTTAAACCTTTTCTCTCCCTCCTTTGCTAAAGGGACCTTCTCATACTGTGCAATTTTGCAAATGGATTGAGAATTTACTGAAATGTATTTATTCAGTGTAGAAAAAATGTCAGATTTTTCTTATCCTCTGCTGAGGAACCTCATAGTGAACATAAAATTGAGGAATTTGAGATTTTCATTGGATGTGTTGAACTTGTTGGCTTCTGTGCTTCCCACAGTGAATCAATCATAGTTACATGCCTCATTTAGAGATCATTACAGAAGGTTATATTTCTGGTGTGTGCAGCTCAGTCTGGTGTAGTATTGATTTCTTTTCAACAAGGCCAACTTCTGAAGAGCCACAGAGTGTCCCAGAATCATGCACCTAAGATGGAGATATGTGAATTTTCTGAGTAATGCTTTGATGGCCAAGGATGCAGCCTCTGTCTATCTGTCTATCTATCTTACTGATACTGCATGCAACGTGTGTTATTAAAACTGTGCACAGAAACACTGTTGGATTCAGGGCCTAAATTTAAGCATCATGCAACTTGTAAGGCCCACAACGGCCTCAAAAGGTAAATTATGGAAAACCTCTATTTATTTATGTACTTATTTATGTGTTTGTGTATGTATGTATTTATTTATTTATTTAATGGGGATGATGTAGATTATTAGAACTGAACAGAATAGTTTCAGTAGTTACAAAATTCTGGTAAGCTCCCATGTCCCAGGCCCTAATATCATAAACATGACTTCAGTCTAACAAATAGCTCAACCTTTTGGAGGTGGTGAAGACGCATGTTTGGGTTGGACTTATTTCAAAGTAAAACTTAAAGAATTAACTTTTCAAACATTAAGTTGTCATACAATAAAGGTATTCTGGTCTTCAGTAATTTTTTGTTTTGTTTTGTATTGTTTTTTTCCTGAACTGTTCAGCCTCTGTTGGCGTTTTTGGGATGCATAAGAACCCAAGAAATCCACTTCATGCACAATTTTCTCTATTTGTAAGTAGTATTTACATGTCAGCTAGCCTTCATAGGTGTACGTGATAATTCAGTTTTGGATCCTGCTGTAGGAACTGATGTTGGCTCTTGTCTAGCCTGGAAATTCCATCTTCTCATCAAAACCACAATATTCCAGTGAGGTTTTCCTCATTAACCTCACATTGCTCCCTTTTCATTCTTTCTTATGAGTGTCCGAGCAGTCATTCTTTTCTCTCAGGCTGGGAGGCAGAGGCGCGTCTTTTTCTCTGACATATTTTGTTGGTTGTCTTTCTTGGGGAGAGAGGAAATAGGAAAGGAGGAAGGAGGAAAATGAGGCGAGGAATTTTTTAGCATCACTGTCAAACTGAGGTTCCAGAAAGGGACAACTGACAGCAAGGCTGTGTGCTCCACTGGGGCTGTGCATGGGTGTCTTGGACTGCTGGCAGCATGAATGTTACACAAGATGCTGCACTGATAGCCTCACATGGAGGTCGGTTTAGGAGAAAGTGCTTCTGTGGCTGATGGAAGTTAGTTGTGAGATCTGCTTAAAGGGATTTTTAATGATATTAATTATTTATTTTTAAAACCTATGGGACATTAAGGCCCATAGCATTTCCTCTGCATGCTTACAGCAATGCACTTCTTAGGTGCAGAGCAGGAAATACCTCTCTAGGTATTTCCCACAGAGAATGAATGTGGGATGAAGCTGCATTAAAATGCCTGAGGACAAAGCTTCTGAGTATATGCTTGCTGAACTGAACTTTACATCTTCTGCATATGCAAAGTCCAGTCTGCCCCTATCTCTTAGCATTTACACTAACAAATTCAATAGCCAGAGTTTGCACAAAAGCATTGAAGATGTGGGAAAATTACTTATGACATTCATTCATGACAGTCAGCTCCGCATTAAGTTCTCTAGTGTAATTAAAAAAATTTTTCCTCAGAACTAATGAGATAGGATTCGAAGAAACCAATGAACTCACATTTTGCTAGGAAGATGCAAGACATAGACAAAGGAAAGTTACTAAAAATGAGTAAATAAAAAGAGAAGAAGGGGAAACTAGAACCCTGAAGGCCACTGTACTCATTCTCTTCTGACTTCAAACCTCCTTACTTCTTACTCTCTTGTGAAATCCATTTTCCAAGCTCCAGCTGCTTCCTTTGCTATTCTTCACCTATTTCACTGTAGTTCTTCTTGATAGTGTTACTCCCTTTTGTTCTTTGCTTCTGCTCATCTCCTTTTCAGTCTTTCGTTTACCTCTTCAGATTTCCTTCTTTTCACCTCTTTTTTAAATTGCTCTTATGTTTTTTTTTTTTTTTTTGGTTATTCTCTAATCTATCTTTCTTTTTTTTTTTTTTTTTTTTCTTATTAATTTCTATCATCCTCCCATTAGATTCATGATTTATTCTTGCATTTTCTAATCCTAGTAAAGCCTGGTTGGCTTGTCTGTATCTGCAGGTGGCTCCTCTTTAGATCTGGGATCTGGATCTGGCAAAGGGAACATCAGAGGTGGTCGGTGCTTGGCAGTCAAAACAGCAAGGTACTATTTTAGTGCAGGATCATCCCTTTGGCCAGGGCAGAAACTGCAGTGTTTCTTTTCTTTAGTGATTCTAATCCTCATTAAAGGAGTTGACAGCAGGATGTCAGATTGACTCACGAATTTTGGTTTGTTTTGTCCAAGTCAAGGCTGCTACCAAAGCCTAAAAAAACCCCACCCTTTGTTCTGCTTTACCTACTGCTTTCACATTAAATATTGGTCTATGAAAGGAGCTGATTAGATTCTCAGATGTCACGTTTTCAGATCGTTTTATGTGTGATAGAGATGATTAGAATGAAATCAGCATGAATTTCTGTGTTTGAGATGCAAGACTAGGATTCTACATCACTCTGCTGATGTAGAAGTTCATAAGTAACTTTATAATGAACGTGCTCATTTAGGGAATGTTTTTAAGGTTTATTAAAACTGCTGGTTTGATTATTTTCTTTTAGAAAGGACCAGGCCCACTCTACTGTAATCTCTGAGTGGCTGGAGACTGCAGGATGTGCTGTGTTGTGTCTGATAGCCTGGCTAGAGAAGCTCAGTCTGGAACCGTATCTTCTCTAACGTAAAGAAGTATTCATTACTACAGTTTGACAATTGCATTTTCTAATCCCAGCAGCACTACAAATCACTTTGCAATACAAATATTCCCAATTTTTGTGTGTTCTTACTCTGTTTTTAGCAAATGTGGCCACTGCAGCTGCCATGAGTTATTGAAGTTAATTGTTACTTGCCATCTTCCTTGAGATGTCACTGCGCAGTGATGGGAGAGTTTCTAGTGGATAGAACAGCTGATGGAACTTCTCTTTGGAGTGACCAGAGAGAGAAACAGGACAAGGGAACATGAATGGCGTGTGTCCCCCCTCTCAGCTGAATAGAGTTTAGTGTGAGAGAACTTTGTGAGTGAGAATTGCAGAAGCTCATGTCACATCAGAATTTGGTCCATTGGAGCAAGTATCCAAAAGGTCCTTGTCTTGCTTTATATAGGATAAATCCCCATTCTCAGCTTTGCTAAAACTCCTACTGAAACCAGTGGAAGGCATGGACGTGCATCTAAAAGCAGCATTTGTCGCTGATCCAAGTCAATTTACATAGTGTTATCTCAGCTGAACTAACAAAGAGCATTCAAGCTTGAGCTACGTTTAGGTCCAGCTTTTAAACAACAGAGCTTAGATCCATGATTGTTAGTGCAATTATCTGCTTGATTTGCGTATACAGTTCCTACAGTTCTGTATGCAAACTGTCTAGCTATATTTGATCTCAAAGCAGCCATTTAATACTTAATGCATGTGTGATTGTGTGCAATGCCTTTGAAGTAGTGATGCTGGTGAGTATAGTCATGAATTGTGGAGCTTATGGAAATGCAGCTCCTGTGTAATAGGAAACAGATTCATATGTTTTGCCTAACTATATGTAATTGCTTGTTATAACATTTCTTCAGAATAGTTAGATGTTATTGATTAAATCATTGTAATATTTTCATTCATAAACTTCATTCTTTACACACAGATGGCTATTTTCTTTGTCCACAATCCTGCATAAGCTCATGAGATAGCCTCTAATATTCTCTTCTTGCTAAGAATAGGCAGACTTGGACAGGCTGAGATATAGCAGCCAATGTGTGATGGGACTACTGGAGAGGCACTGCAGTCCCAGTCCTCATCAGTTGTCTCTTACCTTCTGGTGTCAACTGTCTGTGGGCTGATGTTTTCGACGGAATAAAGATGCCTATGCAGCCATTAGGGGCTTTTGAAAGAGATGGTTTAAGATGGTACAGCAAGGAAAACCGGCTGAGTCAGGCTGTGAATTAATTGAAGAGGCACTTTGATCAGGGCGGCAGAGTGCCTGTGTTATCATGAGAAACAGGCTGAGAGCCCCACTGTGTAAGCAGGTCTGTTGGTGCCTCATTCTTTGGCATTCCCCTGAAAAATAGCTTCACCTTATTAAATTGGCAGCGTGTGCAGGATGTAGCAGGGTTTTTCTATGTGGAGTTGGATGTATCAGACAGAGTTCTGATGGCATTTCTTAGGGCAGGGAAGAGATGAGTGATCTGGTGGCTTTATTTGCTCTCAGTGTCGCCTCAAGAAAGCAAAGACCTATGTGGGTGACTGAGACCATGGATCTGGTTTCTGCTACTCATGCAATGCCCTAGAGACAGAAGATTGCTAGAGAATTGGATCCCGTGATTACAGTACGGGTAGCATTTGGCTGTTTAATTCTATCAAGCAATCAAATATCCTGAGAGAAATTTGATTTTAGTAATATGTAAGTAAGGACCCGGAGATGGAAATCTGATGTGCTCTCCCAGCCTAAGATTCAAAACCTGAATCAGATATTAGCAATGCACAGACTGTTCTTCACTTCTCAAAAACAGCATCCATAAGCAATACAGCCTATATTTAATCCTTGGCTTTACAGAATTAAGCTTAATCCATCATATATCCAGTGTTGCTTAGCAATAAGCATAGCTGTTATAGGAAAGTGGTCTATCCACCTATGAAGAGATGTTGCAGCACTGTTAACTTCTCAGTAGAAATTCAGGTAGCTCCTCATAGTGGGCAAGTTGTCCCTGCGAAGCAGTCTGTCCTTCAGCAACTAGCGGGGCTGCTCACAGAGAAAACAGGTGTACTTCTGTGTGAGTGGTGTTATTCCCTCACTCTCAGAAGCACACTACTTCTCCTGATGTTTCTTCGCAGTTAGCAAAGGAACGAGAAGGAGAATTTTAAGTGAAGGTGATTTCCTGCGGATGGACAGTACGCTCATCCATGTGGGGACTAAATTTGGGTTGTGATATATCATAAAACACATGAATAATATCAAGCCATCTAAACTAAGCTTCATTAAACCTTAATGAGATGTCACCTTTGAGCCTAGGATAGATGAACATAATACTAAAACAGGCAGTTATTTTTCTCGTGTAAATTTATGAATGACTGCAAATTCAGGTGAAAATGAACATTGTTTATTTTAGCTGAATAGTAAAACTGAAGTCATGTGAATTGGCAACAGCAACTTCCAAGTGTTAAAGAAAAAGTTGATTATCAGTCTTATTCCCATTGAACTAACATTATGCTAAATCTGATAATTAGTCTGCTGTTAGTCTGATAATTTGCTTGTCTCCAGCCGTGTTTCATTTGGATTCTTATCTGAATCTGACCTATGGGATTGTTGGCTGATTCCCACAGTTGTCCTCTTTTCCCGTCTTTCCCCAAGATAATTGGATACTTCTGAGTGTGTATGTGCACCTCTATCCCATTTTGTAGATGCTAAGTGAAAAAACAACAAAACTAGCAGTAAAAGCAGGGAAAAGTAATATACTTAGGCAATGGTGAGGAAGGTAAGGTTTACAGGAAAAAAAAAAAAAAAAAAAAGGAAATGAAGAGGTGGTAAAGACAGAGAAGTAGAGCAGTAGGGAAACATTTTTGAGAAAGTGAGAGCCACAAAGGAAAAATTTTAATACCCAGAAAATTATTTTAGAAAGATAATGTATGAAAATGAACAGTTCACTGAGGAACAGGGAATGTAGGAAAAACAGAGACGGAGGACTCAGACTGGCATTTTGATGGCTGGGGCAGGGGAGAGAACATTGAGAAGAGTTATAGAATAAATGAAAAAGAAGGCTACAGAAATGGAGTTGGACACTGGAACACTTGATGCAACAAGGTAAGACAAGCAGGTGCAGTCAAACTTCCTCTTCCACCTATGGCTTGTTGTGGGGAAATTGAAGGCTGCATCTCAGATAAAGTCATAGAGATCTGTCTGAGAGGTCATGGACAGATGAATGAAGACAGGTTTCTTCCAAGGTAAATAGCAGATACGAGTTTGCAGGTAACAGCACAGAGGTGATGGAAGACATAGAAGCACAAACAGAAGTGTGAACAAAGACTCAGATTTAAGTGCTTGACGGTTAGCTAAAATTTTTGAAGCATAGCCACAAATGTTTTGTCAGTAGAAACAGGAGATAAATGGAAGTCTTTGCAATATTGACAGATGCAAACAACCAAGAAGATTAAAGGTCGTGCTTGAAAAATATGCATAATCTTGCTTATAGGGAGACAGCCCGAAGTTACATGTTCTTTTTTTCCTGTATTGTTAACTCTTAAGGCTGTTCCTCACATGTCATTTTCTCTAACCCTTCTGTTTCAGAATGACTATCGTAAGCTGTCTATGCAATGCAAAGATTTTGTGGTTGGAGTTCTTGATCTCTGCCGAGACTCGGAAGAAGTGGAGGCCATCCTTAATGGGGATTTGAATTCAGAGCCAGTTGAAGCGCAGAGACACAGAGCATCACTGAGCCGTGTGAAACTGGCCATTAAGTATGAAGTCAAAAAGGTAAGTAAGCGCTTTTGGGTGATGTAATCTGAACTGTGTCATCTCACTGTGCCATGGGTATTATGAACTGATGCTCAGTTGTGCATTAATGAGGTGGTGCATGTAATTGAAACACTCACAAGGTGGAAGCTGGTGGGAGCTGCAGCAAGGAAGTTCTGTTTAATCTGTTTTACGCTTTTGAGAATTGGCAGGAGATTTTAATTACATAAATCAGTTATGCTAGCAAGACTATACACGGTTGTTCAGATCTTTGTCTTGATTAAATAAATTAAAAAAAAAAAAAAAAGGTGGAGCCAGATTTCCACTTAGTGAAAGTAAAGGATGTGCCTTTCTGCCAGCCTGTGATAGCCTTCTCTGTTGAGTAGGCATTGTTTTTATGAACAGTTGGCTTCAGCAAACCAATGGACTGATTTATCCCTTATTTTTTCTCTTACCTTTGCTTTCTGCCTCAAATAACTGAATAGGGAAAGTAAATTCTGGAAAGTAAATTTTTGAAAGTCTGGCAGCTTTCTACTAGTGAGCACACACACATCTTTTTTTGAAAGAGAAGTGTTTTTTTTCCTACTTTGAAAGGAAAAGCGAACATTTAAGTTGCCATCAAATATATGGTTCTTTCATTGATTCTAAAATACGACAGTAACATAAACAGCTTATCTGTAACTGCGTGGATATAATAAAAAGTGGTATTGTAGTGAGAAATCTTAAATTATTTACTTTCCATGTTCCTTCTAGAAGATTTTTAAAAATCAGTCCTGAAAATGTTAGGGGTGTGTTTGTAGGCAGTTAATCTGTTATTTTCAGTTCTGCATTTGTGCACCTGTATCTGTCAGTAGTTTGTAAAGTGCAATGTATTTTCTATTGGTGCCTTAGGTATTTTTAATGAACAGTTACTTTAATGAATGCTACACTTGAAAAATGAAGCTCAATATCAAACATTCAACATAATTATATCCATTTGCTGTGGCAATTTTCACTATATAGCCATGCTGTTCTCTTCCACAGCACTAGCACAGAAAGTAGTTATCATTGTGTCCTGCTGTGATAAGACTCAAGAAATACTGTAACACCTATGTATTATTTACATGGACACGTCATTTCTGTTCTTAATAGCCATACAGGTTCATCATCTCTGCCAAGAAGTCGGGTGTCTTTCAGAATAAATAACACTCTATTACATGGCCACCTGTTGAGCCAATCTGCCATATACAATGAATTGTAAGCAACCTGCTAGAACATCTGGGAAATATTTATGTTTATCATATCCCCAGAATGCAGTGACAGAAATGGTAAACAGATTTCAAAGAACAAATTTCTGTTTCCAATATAGAATTATTCTATAGCAGGTAGATACATATCAATTGCCAAAATTTGAAGTAAATATTTGAAATTAATTAAGAGAATGGAATGGAGGAAAATCAAAGCATATGGACATGTAATCGTATCCAAATAACGTATGGATTCTTTATGCTTTTGCATTTCAAAATTCAAAATCTCAGCAAACCTTTGCTGAGAACTCACGGCTCTGCTTTCCTACTGAGAACTGTGGTTTTCTTCTAAGAGTTGTCATCAGTGAAATTTATTTCTGAGCAAAGGACCACACAGATCTGCTAAGAATAACAGTGCAAAAAAGACAATTTCATGTAGCAAACTTGTTCTCTTCTTCTGTGAGAGATTAGTTATTTGTAGATGAACTCAAGATTTTGGCTTCAGTTCCTGACAAATACAGTTCAGAACCTATGAGACTAATGATCTTGGTGGGAGGACATAAACAGATGGTGCAGAGTTGTTACCATATACATACATGTTCTGTACTGTGTAAGTGTCCATCGCAGAGGGCGTGACAAAGGTTGAGCCAGAACATTTCTCTGCTGTGGTGGTCTTTTGATGCTGGGGTTGGCTCTATCCAACTGTGGCAGATGGCTGTGATATTCTGACTTCAGAACAGAATCAGATGTGGGAACTTCACAAGGGTTACTCTGAATGCTAAAACTTCAGGAAGCAGGCAAGGATGTGGCTTACATTTCTTAGCTTTTGGAATTTCTAGCTATGCTTCCAGAGCAGGTACGCTAAGGTCAGTACACTGTTGTAAGAATGATAATACAGCAAAGCAGAGCAGCAATTCTGTGAATTGATTAATGACCCATATGTCCTTTGTGGGGAGAGGAGAGACAGGAGAAAGCGCATGATAAGTGAGCAATTCAGAAGTTCACTGTTGGGAAAGGGAGATTTTGCTTCTATGACTAAGGAAACTCTTGCATTTAATACCTAGGCTCTGCATCGAAGGGCAGCCCATCCTTGTAAACAGGACTTAATTTTTGAGATAAGGTTCAGACTAAAACTGCAGGCCCAAAAATGAATGTCTGAGGGGATCACAAGCCCAGAAAAGGTGATTACAAGTATTCTTGCTTTCTCCGCTGGATTGTTGCTGTCGTATTGCTTTTAGTATTGCATCTTAACTCTGTCTGCAGATTGCCAGCAAAATTTGAGAGGGCTTGCTGACAAGTTGCTGACAAGAGCCAAATTCTGCAGCTCTGCTGAAATGAGAATCAAAATGGAATTTCTAAGTGAAGTCAATAAGGTTTGAGTAAAATCACATGACTTAATTCTCAAATATTGAAGTTTCTAATAGAAATGAAAGAGGATTCAAAATTCTCTGTGTTGTGTGCTTGTGAATCAGATTACGCCAGGATCAGCTTCTGCCAGATCTGAACTCAGTCATTAGGATGTTAGGAATAAAGAACATTCTAATCACTCGTAGTCATACAGAGAAATAATTCCATGCTGATCACTTGGTTCATGGTCATGGAACTGAATGCCTCTGAAAAGCCGTAGTCAGTTATGCACTGTAAAGCAGATAACATTTTGGAATTCCTTAGTAATCGGATGTGGTCCTTGTGCATCTCTTTGTGTGCTTGGGTTTGGGCTGTGTCCTGATATGTTAGACAAATGTGATAATAATGTGAAATCAGCATGTGTAATGAGAAGCTGGAGACTGCATGGAAAGTAGGTTGAGAGAAGAGAAATATGGAAGGAAAGGAAGAAGTTGTAGGATGGTGTGATTGGTAGGTGAAAGATAGTGTGTTTTCTTAGGAGATGATGCTGGGAACAGGTGGATATAGAGGAAAAGTACCAGAATAGGCTGGAGATGCATTAAAAAAAAATAAAAAAAATCAAGTATTTCAGCAATGCTAAAGAGAAGGATAAGTTGCAGAGTTTTCTGGATGAGACAAATGCCATGAGTTGCTGTGAGGGATTGGAAGTGGTGCATATTGTGCAATTACCAGCAATTAAATAAATTACTAAGATCTTAAAAGCCCTCAGACTTATTGCCAAAGAACTTGCCATAACAATTGGCATTTCACTTGCTAACTCCCCCTTTGGCTGGGGAAAGTTGCAGCACGTTCTGATGCCCTCTTAGCATTGCTGCAGAATGTTGATGGATCCAGAGAAATAAAGGAGTGCACAGCTTTGGGTGAGAAGTAAGAGGGCCCTCAGGCTGATTCCTAGCCTTGGGCGAGCTCCCTGACAACTCCTTTGCCATTTTTTTTTGCAGCCCTCTGGCAATAGGAGATATGACGCAGGTGTTTCTTTCTTCTCGTCTTCCCTACAGGTTTAAGCCTGTTTTGTAAAAAAGTCTTTGTCATTTTGAAATGATTACTTTCCTATCTTTATCTGCTGAGATGTTTGTCCTTTGGCCTGACTTGAGGATGAAATATATGCTATAAAAGAAGAGACAGGGGCATATGTCAGAATGTATAGTTTACATAAACACACAGAGCTTCTTCTTCCTCTGAGCCAGCCTGGCAGTTTTTATGGTGCGTAAGCTCAAAAAGTGACAGCCTATTAGAGAGAATAAAAATATTATTTTAATTGTCACTAATTTCTGAAAGGTTTTTCGAGACCTTTTTTATTTATTGCTGTAGGCCATTCCATCATATCAACAAACTGTGCCAGTGTGTGATCTAACTAGCTAAGAAATAGCACATCAAAATACTTACGGATTTTTGTTTTAAAGACAAGTGGATTAGAATATGAAGATACTTCCCACTTTAGAGTTAATGCAACAGCTTCAGATCCTTCCTCCTGAGAGATTTAAGGTTCCCTGTTTTCATTCCCAATGATTCAATTTGTTTTTTTTTGAAGAAGTCTGCCCTCTTGTACTACTGTATGCTCTTATTAATGATTTTGGGAGTATAAATAGAGTTTTGCAGGCAAGACCTGGCATACAGCAGTGTATATGGTACATTGTGATCTCAGCAGAGTACAAAGCCTAATAAAATTGATACACAACATTTACAGTATTTTTTTTAACTGTAACTTAAATCAAATCTCTCTTAAACCAACATGCATTTATCAGAATTATTTTCCAAACCTTTTTGTGAAACCAGCTAACATTCTTCACTCCAATTTACTAGTAATTGTTGATTCATTTGAGAAACATGTTATCCAATTGCTTCAAATGGCTGTGATTTACTAGGTTCCTTACCCTGCTGCTCAACCAAGACCCCACGTGCTCTTGTAATGCAGCAGTCTTGTGGAACACGGGGTAATTACAGTAATAGCAATAATGATGAGTGTGACAGTACTTTGGAAATGGACTTGACCAGAAATGTAAATATAATGAGAAGGGAGCATAGGGAGCTGCAGCATTCTCCCCTCCAACATGTTATGCTTCTTCTGCACTCTCTTGGTTACATGACATGATCCTAACAGGAGTGGCTGTACAGTCTTTATCCATGTAGCAGATGGCTTCATTCTACGGAAATACAACAGTGCTTTAAAGAAATTTTTCAGCCTATGCAACCCTGTCCTCGAAGTGCTTATTTTAGTGAACTCAGCAGTTTCTTCTTCATTTATTAACATTTCTTTTAAAAGAAAGGAGAAGGCATGTTTTTAAGGCCTACATTAACCGCGAACGTTTAAGATTTGCTGATCATCTATGCAGCAGTCATGTCACTCATTAAAAATGTTAAATTTTTACTTGTTTTCTTTGCAGTTTGTGGCTCATCCAAACTGTCAGCAACAGCTACTGACTATCTGGTATGAAAATCTCTCAGGACTGCGGGAGCAAACCATAGCCATCAAGTGTCTGGTTGTGCTGGTTGTGGCGTTGGGCCTTCCGTTTCTAGCCATCGGTTATTGGATTGCACCATGTAGCAGGGTACTGACTTTTAAAAATTACAGATCTTGTACTGTTCTGGGTACTGTTTTTCTGGCATTCCAAGCATAATAACATGCCTCTAATTCTGCTGCTTCCAAATTTAACTAATTAATGATATTTTTAGTTCTCTGTAGTCTCGAGCCAAATTATGCTACTTGTTTCATTCACGCTGTAAAGAGAGAAGCATGTGAGGAAGCGTGAAAATACTGTAAAGTTTATAGAAAGAAAAAAAAAAAAGCCCTTCTCTATGAGGTGAATGATCTACAGAAATTTAAAGAAAGAAAACACAAAATTCCATCTGTGCTGTGTAATTACATTCTCGTATTTGTGGTAGTATGGTGCATTTTGTTTTTTAATCGCCACCCAGTTGGCCAGAAGATTCTGTAGTTGGTCTCCTTTAGTAGCAACTGAAGATCTGATGCTGCTTCCATATAAACAAATAACAGAACATCTGTTGATTTTATTCATGCAGAATTTAATCTTAAGTAAAATATTTGTTATTAGTCTGTTTGCCAGGTGAACCATATAATAGAAATCAAATCAAACAGTTTTTCAACCATGTGCTAGAGCATATTCATAAGAGCCTGTAAATGTGAAGACTTACCTTCGAAAATGATAGGAGAATGTGGCTTTCTTGGTGATATCAAAATGAAATCCTTACATTCTTTTGCATGTCAAGTGTCTGAAAATTAAGTACATTAATATCTTGTATTAAACCAGAAGGAAAAATATTTTTCCAAGTTACATTAACATTATTTTTTAAAAAAATGTAATTTTTTTTGCAGAATGTTGGTCTTTTAGTTTTCTTTCCTTAGCGAGACTGCTAAAAGAGAGAAGTGTGTTTGGCTCATTTATATACTTTTTTTAGCTTATCTCAAAAAGGAAAATAATTTGCCCCTCTCCTGCATATTTCAAGGGAAACTGTATTTCTTCTTGGTTGAATATTTATTTACTTCTAAGATAAACCTTCATGATACCATATAATTATTATTCTAATTGTTTTCTGAAATCACTTTGTGATTATCTTTAGTGAAGATATTCCTCCCATCCCATTGTCATAGAAATACATTAGTATTTTTTTAGGTAGTGTCTAATATGGAGAAGTGACAATTGTCCTTGAGCTTTAGTTCTCAGTGCCAGAAACGCCTGGCATTTTTCACAGTGCCCGTGTCAAATAAATGTGCTGTACATTCAGATCAGTTATTTGATATTGTAATTTCAAAATACTTTATAAAGGTCAGGAACAGGAAAGGAACCTGGAATTGTTTGCACAGGTAGCAAATGCAGTTCAGTGTGTGCTGGTCTTAGTTCACAGTGTGTGCTTAGTTCACAGTAGCTGACCCTGGTTTCAGGAAAACCATTCCTTGAAATAAGAAAGCTACTTACAGTTCCCCATCTGCTGGACTCAGTCTTCTTCTTCTAACACAATACACAACGCTGCTGATAATGCAGCACTTCACATGTGGTTTTAGGATGCTGCGTAATGCTTGTTAATGTATGTGAAAATGTATCACATCAGAACTGGATATTAACATCAACAAAGATGGGGCATTATGTGTGCAGCAGCATGTTCTGCTCATGGAGGAGATGGGAGAGACCACTAAGAGATGTCCTGCAGCTAAGTCGAAGAAGTCTGTCTGGCATCCAGCTTGCCACACATAGAGTAGAGGTGGAACAAGCCTTGCATTCTGGAACAAGGAAGGGAGTATATTCTGAAGGTACAAATCCTTCCTTCCAAAGAGAAGTAGTCTGAAAGGGACAGTTAAACTCAACTGTGCAATCCTACCCAGAGATCTCCAAACAGGGCCTTTGGAGAACCTCAGTACAGTCTCCAAACAGTGAGTAACAGCAGCAGGCTCATTGCTCTTTCCAGTGTGGTCTTCTAGAGGTAATTGTTCCTCTCGTGAGCTGTGGAAAAACTGCCTGTACAGAAATGCTGTTCTGTCTTTCTGCCAGGTGCAGACTTTGAATGCACCAGCTTAATTTATTTGAAAAAAGCATTTTTTCCGTTATTTTCATTCTTAGTCCACTGTGATGGAATAGTCATTAGTTCTAGTAGACATTTACAGGTTATTTATCTGGAACTTTCTTCTCTGCAAATATGTTCTCCAGCCCCTCATTGGCAAATCTGTGGGCATTAGAGATTATTTTCTGTGACTGCCATTGTACAGTCGTAATTCCTTGGGGCTTCTCGATAAGTATTGCCATCTAGAGTTTGTTGAGTAGCATAAATGTTCACTAACAGGGCAGCACGTCTCATGTGACTGCCTTTGGGAGAGTTTTGTCTGAAATGCCAAACCATCACAATTCAGTGCATTTGGAAGAGTACCCTTTGATAGCAGCGTTTCAGACTGTCCTGAGCACTGAGCGCAATGCTTCTGAAATACTCGGCATAAGAGTTTGTTACTTCGAAAAAAAAATGTGACTGCTGTCATTCTGTCTCTGCAGCTTGGAAGAATTCTTCGAAGCCCATTTATGAAATTTGTGGCACATGCAGCATCCTTCATCATTTTCCTAGGCCTGCTGGTGTTCAATGCTTCTGATAGATTTGAAGGTATAACAACGCTACCGAATGTCACTGTTACTGATTACCCTAAGCAGATCTTTAGGGTGAAGACTACTCAGTTCACTTGGACAGAAATGCTGATCATGGTATGGGTACTTGGTAGGTATATTGCCCTTTTGTCTGTATGTCACTGTTTATCTGCAGTTGTTAAGAAAGAACTGAAAAGAAAGGAGAGAAGCCCAGGTCCTAAACCTTCACTCCAGCTGTTGCGTTGTTCCAGTAAGCCTGCACAGCAGAGCAACACATCAGAACCAGTGAAAGCATCTCTGTGCCTGCCCCTTCTTGTGCAGAGCAAAGCCCTTGATTTGCAATGACTTTGCTGCAGTGTTTGGTAATTCTGATGTTTGTAGCAGGAACACAGACTTGCTGAAGAGAACACAATAGAGATTTTGCTTTGAAGTGGTTTACTTAAGTAGGATTAAGAAGTCTACTGTGTTGCTGTACGTATGAGAAGATCAGGAGTTCTCACTGCTCAAAGTTACTGTGCTAATACAGCAGAGCTTATGTACCATTGCTGCTTAGGTAGCATTTGGAGAAATCACTGTTTCTACCAAGGGTCAGTTCAATGAGTCAGTTCTCATTATTTAGTATTCATCACATAACCTGATTAGATATCAGCCTGTTAGAAACTGTGTGGCAGAAAGTGCCATCTTCTAGCTTTTCATCAGTCAGATTCTTTATGTAGGAAAACATCAGGTAGCCACATGATAATGTAGCATTCTCAACTTTTACAGGCTGCAAAAGAGAAAAGAAGTGTAACTGTGGCTGGACACAAAGGTGCCTCGCTTTGCCTTTTGAATCACCTCTATGTCCTGGCTGAAGCACTCTCTTTTTGTCAGACTCTGTTGGAGCAGGGAGATCATCGCACCTGGTGTGGTGCCTTGCTGTCATCCCTAACAGGGATAACAAAACGAGAGATTTTTTTTTTTCCACATTTAACTTTTTTATTCTTTTAAACAAAGCATCTTAGGCCATAAAGCTTTCAGAACAAAGTTATGACTCTCTACTTTCCTGTATGGAGATGTTTGAACTGTGTCCTTGTGTGTTTATTTCTGTCTTGCCGTTTGATCAATCCTGTTGAAACCAAGTCAGCCTTGCTCAAGGTGTATCACAACCCTGTGACACTGCAAATCATGGAATTTAAATGAAAGTGTTCTGGCTGACTTTGCTATAGTTTTAAATTTCTTGTTGCAGGTATGATGTGGTCAGAATGCAAAGAGCTGTGGCTGGAAGGACCCAGGGAATATATTTTGCAATTATGGAATGTTTTGGATTTTGGGATGTTGTCCATTTTCATTGCTGCTTTCACAGCGAGGCTTCTAGCATTCCTGCAGGCAACAAAAGCACAACAGTATGTGGACAACTACATTGAAGAGAGTGACCTCTCTGAGGTCACACTTCCTCCAGAAATAGAATATTTTACCTATGGTGAGTTTAAATTTTCTGCAACACAAATCTTATAATGAAGAAACTGGTAAGATGCCAGTAGCATTTGAAGACTTAAAATGAGTATTTTCATGTGTTTGTATTCATAGCATTATTTAGTCAGTTCTGCATCTGTATTTTTCATTCTCATCTGCTTAGGCTATAATCATTACGATGCTAATTTGGCAAATGTTTGCCAATACGTTAAAACCAAGCGATGGGCCTAAGTAAGGACAAAAGTTCAAATAACTGCATGCCATTTAACTGCCTTTTGTTGTAACTGTTTATACAGAGCTAAATTTGGCTGTCATGATATTAAACATTTGTGAGCTATATTTTACTCTCAATGTTATGTGCAACAGATACAATTATGATGAGAATCTCTTTTTTGCTTACTTCACTTGTTCAGTACCGTCATTTGTAGTGTGAAGAGCTGTCAATATTTCATGCTAAAGGAAGGGTGCCAGACTCAGAAATCTGTTCAAATAGAGTGAAGGTACTAAATAGTTGTTGCAGTGCAGAAACTGTAACCAGAGATGTGATGAGGCTGTTTGCAATGTCAGTAAAGACTGCATTTGCTCCTGACAGTATGTTTTAGTATATGCTATTTGAATGCCTATGTATTACAGTAGTAGAAGTGGCTTTGTTTACTTCAAGTGCTATATAATTGATTTGAATTTGGACATATGGAAGTACATACTTAGAAATACTTGGTATTTTGATATCAAATACTAAGATAGCAGTGTTGTGCTAAAATAGTGCAATAAAAAAATTATGAATCTATACGTAACAATTGTTTCTGTGAATATTATGGGTAAAAAATCATTGTCCTCTTTCCACTGAGGTCAATGGCAAAATTCTCCATGACCTCAGAAGGAACTAGGTTATATCCTAGATTTTTAGCATGGCAAAATTTTGGTGGTTAGTAAGTGGTAATTACTCATCAGCCATCACTGTTCACTTTTCATTAACGTAACTTAAAATATGGATAAATTTCTGGCATAGTGTTTACTAATATAGCTAATATTGTAATCATGCTAAGAAAAGCACTTAGAATTGCTTATTGTTATGTAGTTCAGGCTGAAGTACAAATTGTAGAAGATGATGCCTTTTTTTTTTTTTTTTTCCAAGTATAATTTTTCTTCTAGCAAAAAGTAAGGTAATTTACATCCATCATTTGTGACTTGCAGGAAATAGGAATAGACTCTCCAAATATTTGCTTTAACTAAATTCAGACATGTTCATGGCAAGTCTTATCAAGATTTATTTTTAACCACAGTGATAAATGAGTAACACTTCATATTTACCCCTCTATTTTGTATCTTCCAGCTAGAGATAAATGGCTTCCATCTGATCCTCAGATAATATCTGAAGGCCTTTATGCAATTGCTGTTGTTCTTAGCTTTTCTCGGATTGCGTATATCCTGCCTGCGAATGAGAGTTTTGGACCCTTGCAGATTTCTCTTGGAAGGACTGTTAAAGACATCTTCAAGTTTATGGTCCTTTTTATTATGGTATTTCTTGCATTTATGATTGGAATGTTCATACTGTATTCCTACTATCTTGGAGCTAAGCTAAACCCAGCCTTTACAACGTAAGTATGAAGTTATGTTTAAGTAAAAAGCAGCTATGAAACTCAGTTTTCCACTATGGTAACAGTCTGTCAAACTACATACCCTCTTCCTAGTGTTAAGATAAAACCTTAGAAAAGGAATACAAAGAACCAATTCTTTCCTACTTGTATATCGGAAACTGTTGTTTCACTATAAAATAATTTTACCTGTATCTTGTGATAATCAAACAGGCTTGTGAACAACAAGTTAATATGGTAAACTGAGAGATTGAGCCTAGGTGTCAGTAACAGGTCTCCAAACAACACTTCTGTTTTTCAAGATAGGGACTTAGAGGTTATGTAGATGGCATATTTCTTTCTTAGTTCTGTACTGAACAATTCATGAGCTGCACTGGATTCTTTCAGATCAGACTTACAGTGTATGTGCTAACTTCTTTTGTTTTAGTTGGATGAATACAGAGCGATGGCAGTTAAACCTGTTTTCACACAATGTAATGGTTTGCCATGATCTCTGAAGCTTCCATTTTTTCTTTTCTTTATTCATTTTACTTCCTGAAACAAAATAGTGCAGGAAGTGATAATTATTAAGGGCATTTCAAACTGGAGGTAGTTGCACAGGATGGTGAGATTTAGAAGTCTTCCTTTCCTTCCATCTTCCTGTAGGAGACATGACCTCGCTTCCATATTTTTCTGTGGCCAATTCCATGACTTTTTCTTAAACTGAATATGTCTTTTCCTCTAGCTCATTGTCTTTTCTTTGGATAAGTAAGTTATGAAATACTGCAACAAAAATATCATTGTATCAGATGTCTAATATGCTTAATATTTGAATGCTTATTAGCATAGTTAATTGTTTTAACAGCAATGTGATTCTACTAAACAATATACCCGTTCATATATTATTTTTATATAAAATTATTTAGCAGTGTTAAACAGGTAACTCAATATATGCGTACTGGCTTATTTTTGTTATGCTGCCTGGGACACAGCAGTCAGTTTGCTTTCTAGTGACCCAGAGTAAGAAGTCATTTCCAATAACTTCTGTACAGTACAATAAAAGGCACATTTTAAAGGGAGGGTCAACATTTTAATGAATATCTGTGTCTCTTAGCTTGCGTTTGTTAGTCTAGTTCTCAGGGAGGTGGACTGTGTATTGCAGTGAGCTGCATCCACATGGTGTGACAAGTCAACCTGCAGCAAAATTACACCGATGGAAAGCCGAACTCAGTTGTCTGTCCTTCGATGCCAGCAGCAGATCTGTCTGACCTATCTGATAGAAGCAAGGGCTAAACATCTGACCTGTGGGCCAAGCACAACAGTCATTTTCCAACACGATTCAGAAGGTTTCGTGATGCCGAGTCACAGTAATCTGCTCTCAGACTCCCTGAAGGTCTGCAGAGGTGTCTGGCAGCTGTACCAGAGCCTTGGCAGCACAGGAGTTGCCCTGACTAAGACAGGAGTATAGAGGCACTGTGTCCTAGACCCAGAGCCTTGAGTATTTAGGTGTCTGCATCCTACTGAGTGCCAGATTTCCACTGATTTCAATAGCAGTCTTGAACAAATCCCATTAAAATCTGTTTGGATTCTGAGTTTTGTTGCTGAACTTTGTGCTACCTGTTTTTGAATGTGCCATTCCTCATATTAGGCTTAATCAGAAGCTGTCAAAAGAAGTGCAGTAGTTTTCTTCCCATCAGCCCCACTGTTAGAGTAGGGAAGGTCTGCCCCCTGCAGAATTAGACCGGAAAATAATGAGAATATCCTTTATCTCGAAACCTGAAAATATGATAGCTTTATAATTCCTGGACCATTCTTTTGCATGCTTTACTGGTGTTGCACCTATGTTATCTACAATATATAGTTGCAGCACAGTGGGGAAACTGAGCATGCCACGAAAAATGCTTCCTTATATCTTTGCTTTAATCATCTCTCTACAAAGCTGATTCATGAACCAATTGCTTGAGATTTTTTTATCACTTGCTGTAAGCACAGATTATGTATTTGCTGGTGTAGTTAGTAATAATGGCTTCCTTATTTATTTATTTATTTATTTATTTTCTCTCACTTCCTCAGAGTTGAAGAAAGTTTCAAAACCTTATTTTGGTCAATATTTGGCTTGTCTGAAGTAACCTCTGTTGTCCTGAAATATGATCATAAATTCATTGAGAACATTGGATATGTTCTCTATGGCATATACAATGTCACGATGGTGGTAGTTCTGCTCAACATGCTGATTGCTATGATCAACAGTTCATATCAAGAAATCGAGGTAGGACTCTGTTCTCAAATGGTTCTCTTTTGCTGTCATAGAATCAAAGAATCATAGAATTGCTCAGGTTGGAAAACACCTTAAAGATCATTGAGTCACAACCTAGCCATACTACCCTCACTCTTACTTCCCTAAATCACGTCCCTGAGTTGCAATATCTGAAAGGTGCTTACAGCAAGAGAGGGGTTGGTCTCTTCTCACTGGTGACAGGTGACAGGACGAGGGGAAATGACCTCAAGTTGTGCAACGGCAAGTTTAGGTTGGATATCAGGAAAAACTGCTTTACAGAAAGGGTTGTTAAGCACTGGAATAGGCTCCCCAGGGAGGAGGTTGAGTCACCATCCCTGGATGTGTTTAAAAACTGTTTGGATGTAGTGCTATGTTGAAACAGGGCAACGTTATTAAGAATTATTTTAATGATTGCACCTAGACGTGCAGAAGTAAATCAAGGTATTGATTCTCTGTAAAGGAGATCACAAAAAATACCGTGTCCTACAACTAACAGAAAATCTCTGCAAAATCTTACAGAGTCTGTATTACATCTTAAGGCAGATGTATGCATCTGATGAGACGCTATTCATCCAGAAATCTTAAAATCTGAAGTTATGTTCAAATGAAGACTGCTGCGAAACAGAAAACAAAGCTACTGGGCTTAAGATCTTAGATGTGGCTACATTCCTAGCTTCATTAGAGTGCATGCTGCATGTTTTCTTTATGTAGCACACTTCAATCTTTGATGGACCACTCAGATATGGTTTAAATGTATTTTAATGTGTTCTTTAATGGAAACCTGGCTTTCAGTTCCACTTGTTAAGCTTTTTAGCTAACTGTGCAGGAGTTAGACACTTTGGTCCTCACTCTACTGCTGTGCGCACTTTATTACATTTATTTGCATCTGTACTTGGAGTATGATATAGGTGTTTATCTTCAGGACTTAGGACTGAGTTGCACTTTGCAGTGTTTAAAAGATTTGATTGTAACGTGTTGGGGTTTTTTTCTGCTTTAAGTACAATATTAGAACTTGATTGTAGGTTTCCTGCGCTTTGCCATATGCCCTGAAAACACTGATGCAGATTTCTCCAAATCTGGCAAATGGCGTGGTCAAATGAATGTTTGAATGTCACGCAGGGTTCTTGGCTGCACTGCTGATTAAAGAGAGATATTTTATTTGAATTGCATAAGGGTGACAAAGTATCTTGAAAATTGAAGATAATCAGGGTGTTTATTGGAACTGAATGCTAAAAATTTGGGAAAACTCAAACTGGGGAAGATAACTGCTTTTATAAATCAGACACAAGTTACAAACTGCACACACCCCAACACACACACACACAGCAGGTTACAGGGTATGGTGTACAGTTGGTTATGATACTTCACTGATTTTGGGGGTCAGGAACTTCAGCAGGAGAAAGCTACTTATGTTAAAGCAACTTTTTGCCCTTGAAATTAACCCAATTAAGCCTTTCAGTACAATTTGTCAGTTTGTAATGTGATTTCTTCATGACAGCGAAGCTTCTGTTTCATGTATTCCTTTATAAATCAGTTACTTCTCATGGTTATGTAAAAAGCTGTGAATACTAATGCTTTAATCCATGTCTGCTTGGAAGCCAGTGAGTACTTCATCACTTTTTTGAGTACCATGTTCATGTGACCGACCAAATTAAAAAAAAACTTCCACTTTAAATAACAAGTTTATATGTTAGCCTTCACGTGGTGCAAAAATAGCATTTGTTTAAATTGTTCACGTGCTTGAACTAAGTACTGACAATGAGATGTTGACATAAAGTGACAGCTGAAATTTGTTTAAAATAGTCTTGATAGAATAATCACATTTTTGCACAACTGTTTTGCAGCCTTTATAGCAAACAAATAATATTTATATAAAAACAGAAAGGGTAGTTATTTCTTTTGGAGGAAGTTTTTACATTTCTAGAAATGAAGTATATATCTGTTTTTATGCCTTAAAACAGGACGACAGTGATGTGGAGTGGAAGTTTGCTCGTTCTAAACTTTGGTTATCATATTTTGATGATGGAAAAACATTACCTCCACCATTTAGTCTTGTACCAAGCCCTAAATCATTTTTCTATTTCATCATGAGGATCATTAACTTTTCTAAGTGTAGGAGGAGACGGCTACAGAAGGACATTGAAATGGGAATGGGCAATTCCAAATCGAGGGTAGGTACTGAAATTTTTTGTTGTTTTAAAGAATAGTTTCCATTCCAGCAGTTTACTTTTGTTTAAATGTTAGGGTATAATCTGTACGTCCGATGAAAGTACAGTAATAAATCAACTACTTGTATTTACAGATCTATAACTCAGATTGGTTTTATGCAGTACATTTAGGCAAATAATAGCAATAAATTTTATGAAGACAACAAGGTCCAATGACTGGAAAAACACAGGTAAAACAAAAATAACTGACTGTTCAAAGATGCAGATAATTCCCACAAGCAGTGACCTAAATACTGAATGCTTTCAGCCTCAACTAGAAAGACTTCTAGTTGACGATTAAAAAGAAAAAGAAAATCACAACAACAACTGAGGGTATGGAGAGAGGTTTTTGTTTTATTAGGCAGGTAAGGGAAAAATGTGGCCAGTATGATGCCTTACTTCCTACTGTCAAAAGTGTGTTCGCAACAAAAGACAACATAAAAGAGGGGGGAAGATTGGTGGTCATAATCTTTAGCATTTGCACAACATTCTCAATTTGGGTATCAAAATGTTCCTTACAAAAATTAATTAGTGCAGCGTCACCTCGTTCTTATGAGGATTAGGTAACAATTTCTCTGTTTTCTTGATATGGCAACTGGGGCACTAACAGGTGAAAGAAGAAGCACATGGCCCTTTTCTCAACCTCCTCTTTTTTTTTTCTTTTTTTTTTTTTTTAATTAGGTCTTGTATATTACAAAGACTGAAAAAAAAAAAATTATTTGTTTTACTGTAAATTCCCAGAAATGGCAAGTCCAGTTATCTTTCCTGTAAGTTTTTTCTAGAGCCTAGGATGTTTTGAGCTGTTTCTGCTACTGATTTTTATGCAAAGAAAATATTTTCTCTAATTTTCTGTAGGCAGTGAAAGAAGATAAATGTTTTTAAAATGTCAGGTTCAAACAATTTAGCTAAAAGCACTATTCTGGTATTAACTACTCACTTTTTATTAAGATACACTTTCAGAACAAAGCATTTAGTGCTTACAGATAGTGCAGCAGCAACTTAGAATGTTACTCAGTAAAGAACAAAAGTTCTGTCTGGGTCTCTGGTGGCAGATCAGGTGGAGCTAGGTTTTTATTTGTTCATTTTTTAACTACAAACCAAATTATTTTTCTGTGGGAAAAGCAGCCCAGAGCCTCGTCTGAGTCAGGCTGAGCAGGCGCACTCTTCTGCACAGTGCACAAAGATAGACTGTGGCCTAATCCATAGCCAAAAGTATGTCTGATTGCCTGCAGGAAAGCAGCAGCCTGGAGTAGGCAGAAATCCCCTACCTGGGGACCAGCTGAAGTGACAGGCTGTGTGTAGAGGTGCAATACATGTGTCAGTTACAGAAAGCATCCAACCGAGTACATAGATGCAGGCTGACTTCAGTTAGCTCCCTTTGCTCACCAGAGAGGTCAGCCATCATCAATTTAGTGACTAACTGAAAACAACTGTGAACTAATGACTGATTCACATGAGGAGGCTATGCCTTTACTTCACTCACACTAGGTATATCTGAGGGAAGTGGGTCTCTGATTTGGTAGTAGCAAACCTTTGGCCTAAGTCAAAAAGCATCTTGTCCAAAGTAGCTCTTTTCCCTTCTGTTTCTGGCCTGCTAGTACAAAGATGGTGAATTATTTGGGACCTAATAAATTTATGGTGGAATCTGCTGATCCAGAGCAATATTTCCAACTGTATTGCGATTCCTGAAAACTGTACTTAAGCAAAACACTTTTTACTTAAAAGGAATGGCTTTGAGCATGCATTTGTAATTAAATATATGCCTACGAGTGCAGAAGTGCAGCAGCTCTGTTAAACCCTCTCCTTGTGGCCACTTATCCCCACCACCAAGGTGTAACTCATCTCCTCAGCTGTGTGAGCGCAACTGTTCTGGAGCTGTGCAGTGAAAAGTGCACTTTTCACATGGCTAAAATAATCAGCTTTTCAAATAAATAAAAATCAGGCCTATCTTGGTGTTTTTTTGGAAATACTATTCTGATTTAGTGACTATGGAGACATCCAGAGGGGGAAAAAAAAACGAACTGATTTCTGAATGTGAATTCTATCATGTGTGAACTTCTTCTTATTGCTTCCTAGTTAAACCTTTTCACTCAGTCGAACTCCCGAGTTTTTGAATCGCACAGTTTTAACAGCATTCTCAATCAGCCGACACGCTATCAGGTAAGTACATCCCTGGTCCCTGTTCTGAGCGATAGAAGTGTGTGAATGTACTAGCAGAATCTTTTCTCAGGAACACATTGCCTTCTCCAGATGAACAAAACCTCCTGTAGAAAACAAACTCTGGGATGCTACTGAGAAAAAAAAAGGCTGCTCTTGTTCAGGCCTGATTTTTGGAAGCATTTAAAGAAGCGAACCCAAATAAAACTTAGTTGCTGCCTTGATATCCCAGTTCTGAAAATCCAAGGAGCACACTTTGAAAACTGATTTCTAGAGATGTGAAAGCTCAGTGGGCTGACGAAGTTAGCATCCTTTTTCCTTCCTTTCTTCTTGTGCTGTGACATTTGAAACTCCTACAGACGAGAATTTTCCTCTCTGTTAAGAGGAGCCTGTCAGATATTACCTTCATGACTTCTTTTCTGTTCAGAAATAAGAGTATATAGGAGCTTTTGTTCCTGTAGTGAAAATGTGAAAGCTACGTAATCCACCTGTACAAATTCTGTAAGGCAAGTTGCATTAATTTTGATAACACTATGTTTTAGAAAGTAGATATGTATTGCTATTACAGACGAATCCTCACATGTGAGCTGAGTTTATCAAAGAGTAGACCTATTTTTGTAGCTGCTTAATGCCTAAATTACTTGTGCTTAGACACCAGGCTTCTGGCATCAGTTCTGACAGATACTTATGTACATAGTTGTCTGCAGCAAATTTGAATAATTTGATAGTTTGGTCTGCATCAGAAAGGGCTTAGTGCAAAATTACATTATCTTGCATTTGCTTTGCTGACAGTTTGCGTGAAGATTACTTTAGTGCAGGTGACATGAGGTAACATGTTGAATTGCAATACTCTATATGTGCGGAGCCTCAGAAGTTAGGAATTCATTATACTAGAAATTCATTACAAGCTTTAACAGCCTGACAGCATCAACGTTATTTCACTGCCAATCACTTTGATGTACAGAATCAATAGTGATGTTTAAAGGGCAAAAAAAACCCTTTGTCCCTGGGGATAGTGGGTAGAGGATGCTTGTGAGGTAGAGAGAAACGAGAAAAGAGGAGGAAAAGGAAGAGAAGTAAGTAAGGAAAAGGAACAGAAATAAGCTAAAGAAGGTACTGTCTTTCAAATGGAATATATTTCAGTATGTAATGATGCTGACTGATAGAAAGGTGATAAAATAATAAAAGATTAAAGCTTAAAGGCTGTGCTTACACTTTGTCTTGAAAAGCCTTGTAGGAAGGCTACGTGCATAACAAGTAAAATGGAAATTTTGTCCCCTTATTAATGAGTTGAACCCACTGCTGCCTGCCCAGTATCTTCTTATGCACTTGAATAGTGGAAGTATTATGGTAGCGGTGGCACAAAATGTTTTTGCTGTGTTTTCCTTATTCTTAGCTCTCCAGCAGTAGTTGAAGAAAATGGCAAAACAAGGTAACAAGCGAGGGACAGCATGGGAATCTCTTAGAAAACTCTTAGAAAAGTGAGATTAATGATGGTCCTAGTGTAACAGTTCCAAATACGAAATTGTGAAACAGAACTGACATTGGTCAACACTTTGAGCACTAAACAACAATAATACCTGAAGCTAAACGTTGTTGTTTCTATAGTTAAAATGTCTGAGCCTGTGGTTTTTATACGTGTTGCCACAGCCTTATGAGTAATTACTTTCAAACACCTTTTGATGTTTTTATAGAATCATAGAATACTGAGGTTGAAAGGGTCTCACGTGGGTAGTCTGGTCCAACCTCCTGCTTAACTTAGGTGAGGATGGCCTGGGGTCTGGCAGGTGCAAGTTTGAAGAGCTCCGGAGATGGTGATACTACAGCCTCTCTAGGCAGCCTGTTCCATAGAAACTGCAGGATAAAGACACCAAAGCCTATGCCAAAAAAGGACAGACACAGCTAATACTCAGCTAAGCTGCAGCATTCTTTCTTGGTTTATTACACAGAGTGGGCTCCTTATCAGCATAACCGTACCAGACTGAGCAGCATTTTCTAGGTATAGCTTTGTGTCTTTAGGGGCTTTGCTTAGGTAATAGTTCTGTGTTGTGTTAATAACTGTCATTATACAGGTGGCTGCATAAGTGCCAAAGGCATTTTGAAGTCATGGCATCAAAGCATTGGAGAGAAAACACAACGTCCTTAACTAATACAATTTTGTCTTAATTTTGATGGGGGTAATAAATCTTGAGATTGGGTGTGTGTATGCCTCTAAATCCTGATGGTGCGTCTGACGACTTCTCACAAAGCTAATTGGTGACAGGAAGCCAACCTTTCTTGTCTACACCTGCTAGCTGTATAAAAAGAAACAAAATAACATTCTATATTTCCCTGTTGTCCTATTCTCTCCTAACAGCAGCAGTGTTCTGTAAATTAAGAGGTAATTGGGTGAGAGAGATGCTTTGTTGTAATGATGAATCCCTGCATGCCACCAAAAAAAGCCCATATGAGGCAACTACTTGATCTGGGGCTGCTCTTTCACTTGCTTATATATTTTCTGTCCTTGTAAGAAGAAGCAAATAAAGTTTTACTATATGTGCTAACCATGTCACTGTTTTAATCTGACAGCAAATAATGAAAAGACTGATAAAACGTTACGTTCTGAAAGCACAAGTGGACAAAGAAAATGATGAAGTAAATGAAGGTAAGAGGCTGTACTTTTTCACATTTCAGAGAGAATTTTTGTCACATTTATTAGAAATTGGTATTACAGTGGTGCATGGGGCCTTCAATTAAAATGAGTTTATTTCTACTTCATGTGCATTGAAGTCAGGTAGCAATGGAAGTATGCACAATAAAACTGCACAAGTAGGACCAAAAAAGAGGAACTGAGAAAGTTTATGGGCCCCATTTACAGAAGGAGAGTTGGGATGCAGACATGATGCACCCGCAGTCACAGAGGAAGTTTGTGAGGAAGCCACTAACTGTACTGATGCTTTCGGAGTCCTACTCAGAGCTGCAGGGTGTCTTTCTGTTTCATTCAGTTGAACACACAGTTTGCACTCAACAGCATGAACCACTTGTATTCCCTTCTTTGATAAATCTGTGTGGAATACTAATCTGCAAAGTTGCATATCATTTAAAACAAACAAACAAACAAAAACCAGCCTAGTTAACTGTATGGTGAAAAAAAGGTGAGAACTGTAGCCACTGTTCTAGTGTACAACCAGAGGTCATTTCAGGGATGATGCACCTGAGCACTGTGTCCACATCAGGACTGGTGGGCTCTTAGGAACATCTCTAATTGCAGTGAGAGGTGCATGCTCCAGGCACAGAACCCCACCTCCCCACTGTGGGTTGTGTACAGGTCTTTCCAATTCCCTGATACCTGTTTGGGTATTTGCAACATGTGTTTAGGTAAGTGCAGAGGAATCATGATTCATGTACTTCACAGTTCTTGCTTATCACCAATCTTCCTGGTGTCCACTTTGGACAAGGTGGCGAGCCCCTGAACCTGTCTGCATCGATCGTTAGATAATATAGGTATTCTTTCATATTTTTCGTATGTGACAGCTGATTTCCTGCAGTGGGTTCTGTGCAAGAATTAAAATGCCTTATACTTGCAGAAGTAGTATTTGAGTATTTTTAAAAGCTTATACTCTTGATCTGGGTATCTTATACTGGGAAATGTGATGTATCTTGTTACAAGGCTGACCTTGCCTATTGTTTCCATTTAAATGTTGCTGTTGTCCTTGTGTCAAACTGTACCAATTTTAAATTGGCTGACTCTTTCTGATTCAAAGGATGTTGGTAAGGAAGAGGAGAGAGACTCAGAAGCTGTGAGTTTTGTTGCCAGCTCTACCACATTTTCCCTGTGTGACCTTGGCATATCACTTCAGAAACAAATCTCTTTTGCCTTTTCTCTCTCCAAGGGGGTACTAACATTTACCAGCTGTTTAGCAATGTTGCCTTGATTAATTCATTAACCTATGTGGAGGGTTTTTTGAGTCTTTGATGTTCTGTGTATGTGTGACGCACAACACTGGAGTTTGTTGGATTCTTAAAACACATTTGGTTCTGTCCAGGGGTGGACACACACGCATCTTATAGAGAATGAGGAAGAGATAAAGTCTTCTGCCCCCTTCCCCAGCTCTCATGAATGTTCTGAATGATCAGGGGATCATCTGAAATAGGCACTAATGTGACTTGTTATTTAATAAACGTTTAACAGACTTTGCTAATAGTATTTCTTTCCATGGTTAATACAGGTGAATTAAAAGAAATCAAACAAGATATCTCCAGTCTTCGCTATGAACTTTTGGAGGACAAGTCCCAGGCGACAGAAGAATTAGCGATTTTAATACATAAACTCAGCGAGAAACTCAATCCCAATATGTTGAGATGTGAATGATGCAACAAAGGAACCGTGGCTTCGACTACAGCACAACTATTTATTGGCAATAATATTTCAGTATCTCATACTTGAAAAATGTATTGTAGATTTTTAGCACTAAATAACTTTATGTACAGCTTCTCTGGAATTTAGTCATAGGAAATTTTATTAACTCATCACCAAAACATTGTTGTCTTCATCTTAAACATCTGAAAGTTAAGAACTATCAAACTTTTTTTTCTTTTTTTTTTTTTTGCATTGATGCATTAAGAGGGTATAGTGATACAAATTACTGATATTTTAACAGGTTTATGAATACATGCTGAAAATCCTTTGAACTGAATTTGCAAGAAGAAATGAACAGATACAATGTAGTATTCTGCTCCTTGCAGCAGCGAGGTGGGAACAGGATCTTTCAGAGTGTGGTGAATCAGGTAGAGTGGTGGGGGATTGCCTGAGATCCAGATCCTCTCTAGTGATGCTGATCCCAGGCAGGAGCTGAGGAGGAGCAGGTGAGGGTGAGTGCAGCTCACAGGTACGTCCACACGCTTCCCCACAGCTGCTGTTTCACAATTCAGCATATTGATTTCCTCTGGCAAGGTTTGGTGGTTGGCTGTTCTTTTTCTAACAACTTTTGAAGGTAACGTGATCTCAGTCCAAAGCTCCTCTTTATGTGGTAGAAATGGTTTTTTAAAATTCAGACTCTGTGCAGGGCCGGTATTTTGTTACTCGATGCCTCAGATGCTTCATTGTTAAATAAAATATTCCGACTTTACTGATACTTCGCCTCATCCTGATAGCGCGGCGCCGACTAGCCCGTCTGGGGGCGGCCCCGCGGCCGTTGCTCACGGCACTAACGACGCCGCAGCCCCGCCCTGCAGCGCCGCCCAATGGCGGCGCGCAGATCGCCCTTGTCCCGCCCTCTCACCGTCGAGCTCGGCCAATGGGAAGTCGGCTGGGAGCGCCGCCGTCCGCGGGCGACGGTTGCCGCGGTGACGGGTAACGGCAGCTCGGAGCCGCGCTCGGCCGAGCTCGCGCCGCGGGGCGGCTGCCGGCTGAGCCATGGAAGTCAGCCTGGCCCGCGTGGACTACCTGCAGGTAACGGGCCGCGCCGCGCCGCTCCCGGCCGCGCTCGGGGCCGAGGGGCGGACGAGGTGAGTGAGGGCCGTGCTTTCCTCTGCAGGTGGGCGTCACGGCGCAGAAGACCATGAGGCTGCTCCCCGCGTCGGGCCGCAGGGCCACCCAGAAGGTACGGGGTGGCGGGGCGCGCGCGGCCCTCGCGGCTCCTCTGGCGGAACGTGACGTACCGACGTACGGAACTGCGCTCAGCGGTGTTTGAAACCCGTGCGATGACGTAACGCTGTGTCTGCTTTCGAAGGTGGTGGTGGGCGATCAGGACGGAGTGATTACCTGTTTCGGCATGAAAAAGGGGGAACCTGTGGTGAGTGAGAACGTGCCGCTTCAAAACGGGCTTTTTAAAGCTTTCTTCCTTAGGAGTGCGGAAGGCGTGCAGTCAGTGTCGCTTTCTGTCCCTACACACTCTGTAGCACCCTTAGTTTTGCCGGAGGTTGTAAAGCAGATTTAGTATCCTTTGCGCGAAAAGTTGACTGTAAACACAAAACATGATTGCGATTGCTTTTCTTCTTTACAGACGGTGTTCAAAACACTGCCCGGCCCCAAAATCGGACGCCTGGAGTTGGGAGGAGCTCTTAACACACCCCAAGAGAAAGTCTTTGTGGCTACGGGATCAGAAGTCAGAGGTTTCACAAAAAGAGGGAAGCAGTTCCTCTCCTTTGAAACTAACCTCACCGAAGACATCAAAGCTATGTGTGTACAGTGCTTGGTGTTTGTCATCTCCCTGAAGTTATTCTCAATCTATACTTTTATGGTTTGGGTGGGCAGTGTTCAGTGCTGCTCTAACTTAAGACTGTGCCTTGGCATGTAGTAAGGAATCTAGAAAGGAACAGTGCAATTGGAAGAGTGGGGGGAAGGGCGGAAGGCGGGGGGGGGGGGAATCCTGGAGGCCTTCCCAGCAGTGCATGTGCAGGTGAGTGTAACTGGGGTTATTGGGTTTTTAGTAGTGTATTCTGTCCCTCTGTCCTTCCTGTAGGAGATCAGGAAGATTTTTCTGTGTTTTTTTTTGTATGGTCTTGGTTTAAGGTGTTTGCCTTATAAAAGCTGATGTGTGGAATCTGCAAGCAATAGCGCACACGTATACTAACCTAAAAAAGATGTGACTGAAATATTCTGGCAAAATGCTACAGTGTTTTCTTTTTCTCAGGCACATTTCAGGAGCAGATCTCTTTCTTTGTGCAAGTTATATCTATAACCACTACTGCGACTGCAAAGACAAACACTACTACCTATCAAGAGATAAAATCAATGATGTTCTCTGCCTTCCTGTAGATAAAGTGAATTGCATTACCCCAGTGCTTGCGTGTCAGGATAGAGTCCTCAGAGTTTTACAGGTTAAAATATTTGCTTGTTTTATGTGTTGACGCCATAACATTAGATTAATTCTTATAGAATAAGCATAAGCATAGTGTATCTCATTTGTCAGTGTTACTGTCCAGTGCTGGTACTTTTTTAAATTAGAAAATCATGATTGTGAACTTGCAAAACTAGTGATAACACTACTACTACAAATAGACTTTGGATTTCATGGATAGAGGAAGTAAAGAAATTCTTCCATTTTCCACTTCAAATTAAAAATGCTTACATAAGGAAATGAAATATCTAAGTCATTATATGTTTGAAAATTTGTATATTATTTTTGTAGCAATGTGAATGATATCAAATGTTTTAGCACTATTGTTTCTTTGTGTCAGATTATTTTGTCATAACTTTTTAAAGTGGTAACACATGGCAAAGATTTGTTTAAGTCATGTTTTAGTTACGTAAAATTTCTTCTGGCTTAGAAGTGATTTTATGCAAGAAAATCTGTGTAAATGAAGCATGTCCATATTAAAAAAAACAATTTTGTCTTTATTCTTGATTTCTCCTTTTGAACAAGAACTCATTCAAGGTAGTTCTCTTTGTCTCTAGGGATCTGATCTACTGTATGAAGTACAAGTTCCTGGACCACCTTCTGTTCTTGCTCTAAACAATGGAGATGGGGGTAACAGAATTTTGTATATACGCGTAACTAAGTAGTGTACTTCTGCTGCATTTTGAGATTTCAACACTCATATTTGTTAACTACATTTCATCTTGATTTTGAAACTGATTAAAAAAATGTAGTAGAAAACTCTGTGAAGCCATATCTTACTACCCATTCTATTTGTAGAATACAGATACAGAATATCTATATTATGGTGGGAATGGTAGTTTGTTGTACATATACTGAATTAATGAACAACCAGTAACTGTAAGGAGGGGGAGGAGGGGGGAAGGCTAAATGTTGAAGATATTTGCTTAAATTATTCCTATCTAGAAAATTGGAGGGGAAAAAAACCAACACTTTTAGCAGTATTAAGGGATTTTGCTGCTGGTTTTCTGGTAGAAAAGGTTTGTATGTGGATAACTGGATAAAAAGCCTGTTGGCAGTAACAGAAATAACACAAAATCTGTTCCTGAGAGAGATTACGAGTGAGGCAAGAGGCTAGTAGGATTTCAGGTGAAAGTTGGGGAGAGGGCAACCATGGGAGTGTTAGGTTGGGATAGCATAGGGGTTATTAGCTTTGTTTTTAAACTGCTTCGGATTTTCATTTATATGCATTTAGAGGTGTTATTTGTTTACAAACACACAATATATACTTGTATGCACTTAACTGTTTTAGTTCTAAATAACGTTTACATTGGATGAAAGCCTCATACATAGCAGTGAGTTGTGAGGTGATCCTGTGTGTAAATGAGAGCTGGACTGTTGGGGGTCTCATTCAGGTGCTGGGTTGGGTTTCTCTTACGTCTGGATTTCTGTAAGTAGAATCACTACTTCCATCCATCCATGGATTGATGAGAATATTGAGTAGAGCTCAAGTCAGAAGACTGTGGAAGGATCCAACTTAAAATAGTTTGATAATCCTTTTTGCTAATCTCTTCTAACCTGATATAAATCCCTTTAGTATGTGCTTAATTTAGTTTCTGTTAGATTATTTGACAGTTCTCAGATCTAGTTTCAAGAAGCAGTTCTTATTTGCTTAAGGTGCAGTACAGCATTCACAATTAGATGTGTGTTCTGAATAAATAATAATGAATGATTTCTTCTGTGAAGACCATTAAATAGCCTGCCTTTTCCTAAATTTAAAGTATTGGAGAAGTTTGCAAGCAGAGCTCCAGAGCAAGAAGGCATTTGTTGCGAAGCCTGACAGTTCTGTTATACAGCACTAACGTTAGGATTTTCTTTTTCCTCTGGTGGGATGAATATTTTCAAAACTTTTAAATATGTCTCTTTTTGTTATTCTGAATTTGCTGAATATTTTTTTTTTAGGTGATTCTGGAGAAGAAATTGTGTATGGAACTTCTGATGGTAAACTGGGGCTTATCCAGATTACTGGTTCTGCTTCTGTACCTAAGTGGGAAATTGACAATGAAAAAAAGAGAGGAGGTACGTGTCTCAGTATCTCCCTCTTTAGTTTTTGAGCAAAGCTGAGGCTTTGTCACAATATAATCATTAGGAAATAAATTTCTTGGGTATTTTAATATTGTCGATATGTGATATTAATGTGTTAATTCTCTTCCATTCTTAAAAGTTTGCCCTTATGTTGTTTCCTGTACATTGTCATTTTTACAGTACAATGTTAAAGTGCCATTTGTCAAACAGTTTCTTTGTACGTCATCGCTTGGGATTTTTATAATTTTGGTGATTTTAAAATGCAAATCTACATACTAGATGTTTTCAGATGTGCAGTGACCTTAAAGCCCCTTCAGATTAAAGTCAGGCATCTACACTGCAAGACAAAAAAAGAAACAAACAAACAAAAAAAAAAAAAAAAAAAAAAAACAGAGTAAGGAATTTTTTCTGAAGATGGAATAATGCTCTCCTTATTGCTCCATAATATGATGTAACTTGTTTGGGCATAGAACAGTATTTTTCCCTGCTATAGCCTTGGTATGCTGTTTCTGCAGCATGTGTTAGAACTTTTGTGTAAAGGAGAAGAGCAGTGATGTATGTTTTTTTTTTTCTAAGCTTTCATGAGGTAATTAAATTACTTAACTCTTTTGTTAAAAATCCTCTTGGTATGTCTAAACTTCAAATATGAAATGTGAAGGAGTTTAATTCTTTTGCAGGTTCTCTTGCTTCCTTCTCCTTCTTCCATACTGTAACTCTGTGTCCAGTCTAGCCATGGTTAGCTGTTAGATCATCCGGGGAATCTTAGTCAACGGGTGGGTTTGTCCATTAAGGTGTTGTGTAGCAGCACAAACCTAAGGCAGGTCTGATGCAAATCAGGATCCTGCATCTGCCACATCAGCTGAAATTCATAGCAGTTCACTTGGCTTTCTGTCAGCTGTAGGAGATAAAATGTGCTTGCCTCTTCAGCTGGCAGAGCTGGTCAGACAAATAGTCTGGGAAAAAAAAGTGGACTTCAGTCACTGGAGAGACACTTCAGCCCTCTAGTGGACTCTTCCAGAAATAGCATCAATAAAATCATAAAATCCCAGCAAAAATCTCTTCCTATGCAATTTAATGTGGCGTTCATATTAATGCATCATAAACAACCAAAGATGAAGTAGACAGTTTGTTTTCTTTTTCATTAGGCATTTTATGCATTGATAGTTTTGACATTCTGAGAGATGGAGTTAAAGAGTTACTCGTTGGGCGAGATGATGGAGTGC